AATAAACTTTCAAAACTTTGTTGTCCGTTGTTTTATTTTTACCCAAAATTTCTCGACTCAAGTTCATCAGCCTTCTTGATAAATTTGTCTTGTCCTTTACAGCTGCATTTCTGAGAATAATATTTCATCAATACACATCCGCATTAGTTTTCCATTATGAACTTGCCCCTAATGAACCAATATCTCATTTTGTTTATGCGACACACATGCTTTTATATGAGCTTGTTACGAAGCAATATCTTTTTGTGTAACCCCAACATGTCCATGGGCTTACGAGGGGACTTTATCATGACGACGCCTGATCAGATCTTGAACAAATGATTGCCATCAACACACAAGGATTAATATATGTGTGGTCATCACCATGATAATACAGATTGCCTGATGGTATTCCAATAGAAACTTAATCAGAGTAATAAAATTCTAACACCTTCAGTTTGAGACCCGTTCTTGTTTTTGTTGTTCATCATCATGATCAGGATCACCAGGTCATGAATAATTCTATTCAGAGTTGCTGAACCATCAATATCATCTTCAAACTCTTCAGTCCTCTCAAAAAGTATGCATAATTTTTGTTGGTATTACTCCTCATCTATTTATGCATACATTCATACACTCTATTTATAGGCCATATTGTCTCACACAACTTGTCTGTCATCAAATATAATTTGGAAGCAATCGTTATCTGTCATCTCCTTTCATATTGCAAATATTATGAATAATTCTCATTCCATCATTGAATAGATGCTTTCCTCTATCTATCTCGTTCACTTCTGCTGAGGGATGCAAGAAATCGAAAGTGCAAGTACCTTTCAGGTCATACAATGTTTATTCTCGTAAACAATTTTTTCAATTTAGCAATCAAGACCTGAGATTATTTCTTGATATGTTCAAAGAGGTTTGGAACGACATACGACATAATCCCTTTCCCGTTTCCAGTTTCTCTTTCTCCCGGCCTCCATCACCATCCATTTGCATCCAACGATCCTCTGATGGGAGTCGACATTTTGATACGAGAGCACATCATGTGCGACTAATACAATCCACTCTACTCTGTTCATGTAACTCTTAAAGTCTCAGGCTGGGTGTGGCCAGCCAGTGCAAAGTAGGACTTGATGTATAAATTATTAAGCATCACAACTCTCAAAAACATCCGCTTGATAATTTTGCGTGAGGTTTTTGAGAGTTAATTTTGAATAAATTGCTTTAAAATCAACGACCAATTTACCAATTTCCAGTCTTATTTTCACAAGTTCTACCATTCTATGGCTATACTCAAACTTATACTCAAACTAAAACCATTGGGGTTTTCACAGGTTCCACAATGTGATATGGATCATATATTGATCAAATCTTGATTCTATACATCTATTCAGTTGAATAGTGCATTGACATTCATCAAGAGTTTAAAAACCGAGACATGACAGCTCGTTGAAGCTCTTTTCCTTAAACATGCTTGACCTGGTTTCCATTGTCAACCCAACTCTGCTGAGAGGTTTTGAGATTAAATGAATGAATGGTGATATCCAAAAGAGTAAATATTTGCACGAGGTCTTTCTCATTTTGGGGCATAATATGATAATGGAAACGAAAGTCATTAGGGTATGGGCTTGGAAGCTGAAAAACTGATAGATTTTGCTGGAAAATAGCATGTAAATTCTCTCTCCCCTCAGTCTTTCTCCCTCCCTCTCTCTCTCTCTCTCTCTCTCTCTCTCTCTCCCTGTCTCCCTTCCTTCCTTCCCTCTGTCCCTCTGTCCCTATCTCTATGTTTAAAGCTAATACTTTTCAAGTAAGTGAATATTATACATGTTACATTATTTTGGTCATGATATAATGTACTCATAATCGAAAAAAGCAGGGAATCGTAGTTGTCTTTTCATGCTCCCAAAAGTATGGTATCCAAGTTATCCGATTCTCTTCGAGGCAAGTGATGCTCTTCAGAGATTTACCCCTTTTTTAAATATTTCATCATTTTTTTACAGCATTATGTAGGCCCTGCATAAAAAGCTTAAGTAATCATTGCATTGTTTCCACTTTTTCAGTTATATATCCTTTAAAGAATATCCTCCCAAGCTCTTCATGAAGGTAGAGCAGTGGATAGCGAATTTACTTTGATCCTATTAGGTTTCATTGATGAACCAGACCTGTCATACTTGAGCTGCCAATGTTATTTGCGACTGACATTTTTTGGAAGTATGTGTTCATAAGTGAGTGGCATGATTAGACGTCATATGTAGACTCAGGGTGACAGCTGTTTGCTTCATTGACCCCCTCCGGGAATGAAGTCATCTTGAAAGATGGAATGGGAGAGGAATCCGTTTATCTCAGAATATTTTGTTCTTCTTTTTTTCGGAGGGGGAGGGGGGGGGGGGATCAAGGCTTCAATTTCTTAGAGAGAAGAAGGCCGAAAATCATAAAGTGATTAAATATCAATAGTCTCTCATTTAATTTCAATTTCACTTTATCCTCGCTACTCTTGAGAAGATTCTTCATCTGTATTTCTCATCATTATTCTTAATTCTCTCACTGGTAATGGGTCATTTATATGTACATACATGTATATCTTCCTTTGGGCCTACATCACACCAAATATCAAGGAAACCTTTCTTGTGGTTCAGTGTAATTATTGAGGATACTTGGTATTGAGGTACATGTACATATATGGGACACAAAATGGTCAAATACCTCAGACTTGCCATAATAATTTCTTTTATTACGCTTAATAATGATCCTGTAATTGAATTGATGAATTTAGCATTATATAAATTATCAATATTTCATGGAATTTTCTTCACTTTCCTAGAGTTACATAAATATTTAGTGTGGATTTTGATGGTTAGGATTCTGTTGATTGACATAATTCTTTGGATATTTAGTTGGGGAAAATAATTGTTTGATAAAACCTGTATAGATGTGTTTCCATGCCATGAATGTAGCAAGCAAATACAAAGTTCATTCTTTGTCCAGGTATAGAGTTACTAATGGATATTTTCATCTTCCCTTCTCCAGCCCTGTCCCGTCTCTATTGAAACTAATGCTCCCCTTGTGCTATCTTTGACACATCTTCCAGACACTAGTTCCCCAGGCAATTCGGGATATTAAAAATATATATTTATAGTCTGACAATAGTGTCATCGTGCCAAGGCTTGAATGTTGAACACGAACGCTTCCTCCTCCATGTGTACATTTACTGCCCAATCTTCAGTTTACAATGTGCTTTTCAACACCCGGATGCTGTCCAGAATGCCACCACATTTTCATTACTCGCTTCCCGCCACGGCCAGATGCCTTAAATGTATTGTAAATTACAGCAACCATTTGATAATTGCATTACCAGAATTCCTTTTGGGTGTGGGAGTTGGCTCCAAAGTCTCCATCGCATTCTTGTCATACGCAGTTGCGAAGCTTCGAGGAATTACCCTCTACTTATGGCATTAGTGATCCAATAATATTTGGAACTGCCATTTATTTCTGGCAGCTAAATCTGTATTACCATGACATGAAGTAATATTACATATATACAGGCACAGGATACAAATATGTCTGTTCATCCGTCTGCCTTTCTTTCTGTCTGTTTGTTTGATTTGTTTGTTCAGCTCGAATAAAATGGGTACCATGTATTAATTGAAAGGGGAATTGGAGACACAAGTAGAGTTGTGCCTTGCTCACAATCTTTGTATTTTTTGAATACTTATGTATTTCTGGGTAAAGTAATACTACTAGAAAGTTGAACCCTTATAAAGTGAAAATACAGAAACAAGAGAAGTTCCTAAATAAAGTAACATGCAGGCAATAAAGGGCAATAGTTTCAAAATTGTAAGTTGTGATTTGTTTGCATGAAGTCGGAAATAATAAACACATGATGTCACCCAGTTTACCATAACACTTTCACTTGGGGCCTAGCTCTTCTCTTGTTTCATTCATGAAATATTTGGGTGATGACACTGTGATAAATATACAAAATGTTAGATTCTGCCTACTGCCACCTTTCTTACTTACAAGGTTGTCTTTGAACTGCACTATGCCCATTTGATATAAATATTTACACCCGAGAGAAACAAATCTAATTTCTAGCTATGGGGTGTCTGGACTCTGACGAAGAGTGGGAAGAAATCAATAATATCCACATGCTGTGGGTTGGTAGGTAGGCCAACCTAGAAAGAACATTTTAAAGGGAACCATCAGACCTTCTAACCATGTGTTGGATTGATATCGACTTAACACTATTTTGTGATATTTTCAATTTAAATATTTTTGAACTCTCTGTTCTATTCTTGATGTTTAAAAGCATAAAAGTACTTCAGACTTTTTAAGTTTTAATACCATCAGTGAATAACGAACATGTGCATTGCTTTACAACTTCTCTCTACTTTCATGTACCTGTAAATGTACAGGTGTTCTTCACTTTGATATGCAAAAGACCCTTGCATTTATACATGTATATATGGGGGAAAGTGGCAAGGACGTCACAAGAGTAACAATATCAGGAAAATCTATATTTGTAACACTGTTCACTAGTTTGGAATGTTGTAATATGAATTGTGTGCCAAGTCTCTAATATGAAGCTCAAATTGATTATGTTTCAATATATGTGTTGCTCTCACTGATGAATTTGAATTACCAAATTATAAAGTCATTATTTTATGTTATTTTAATTTATGACATGATGTCACCAACGTTATACTTATATTTAAATATGGTGTACTTTTCTTTTTCTGTGTAACTTCTTATTATAAACAGTGCATTTTAAAACTCAAAACAGGAATACAGAAAATCCTGTTCTTGCCATAGGAATACAATTTTCCCAGAAGAAAACAAAATGATGATGTTGCATAAAAATGAGAGGAAATGACATTTTTAGATTTGAGAGCACAAGGCAAAATAAAATACAGAATCATCCAAACACATGGAATTGAATTGAATCATCCTATAATCACAACAATTTTTGACATTTGAAATAATTATAGATTTGTTTTCCTTTCCCTTTTTTGTCTCTGCAGGAAGCACCGAGCCCGAGAATTATGAGGTGAAGGTCGACAAAGAGGAACTCAAGCAGAAACTAACTCCATTGCAATACTCGTGTACGCAAGAGAAAGGCACGGAGAGGTAATTTTTGAATATGCTAGAATTTTCTTGGGATTGTACATGTTAATGATATAATCTTACATTAATTGTCCTTTCCTTTTTCCTCTCTCTATCTAAATTGATCTATAATGTTTACAATTGAATTACTTTCGCCAGTTGTTTACTATATCATCTGTTTGGAGCCAGACGTGGATCTATGTTTGTACAGACAATACATCCTCAAACCTTGCTCATTCTTTTACCATTTATCCCACAGTCTATACTATCCTCTTATTATCTCTTCAATCATTTCTCAACTAATATTTAGTTTTTCTCCTTCACCCTAATATTTTCCCTTACTTGCTTGCTTGGAGCTCTGAGTTGTACCTACTTGTATCTCATCTTGCATTTCTCACATCTCATATTTCATCCCACATTTCCTTCCCAAAGTACCCCTCCCCAAAATACTCCTCCCAATATCCTAAAATGGATATCTATGGAAATAAAACTCTCTCAAAATCAATTTTGAGAGTCTCGTTGGGTTGACTGGGGTATTAGCAAAGCATGTAACAAATTATGTTGGCTAATATGTGCAGAGGAACGCTTTGAAGCACGAGATCATGGAAGCCTTGCAAACAAACACATTTTAATTATGTTTGTTTAGGATTTCAGCGAAGTAATTGCTCATCTGATTAACTTCCTCATAATGAACTAATTTGCTTTGTGATACCATGATCGTATGCAAACAGTTTATAAACCGTCGACCCCACTTCTAGAAAGATCAATATATCAGAGATATTAGTTAGTATTATGTCAAGAGGACTTCAACCAATCTAAACCTCTTCTAGTAGGTGCAACTTATCTTTTTAGTCATGAAGAAAAAAACAAAAACTGAAAATATATATTGATATATTGTTGACTACTTCACACATTGCTTTATAATAACAGATTCACATTAATGTAACTGTTTACTGTTCTTTCTCAGAAAAAAAATATATTTAAAAAAAATGACTCAGCTTTTATATTACTTTTCAGTCAACAAGACATCAAATAGGCTTACCGGGTATGATTAACTTAGTGAACACTGAACAATCATAACACTAATTAAGCAACATGTTAATGCATAGAAGGGATAGTTCTGCTGAATTAATATAGCTATATCAAGCCTCATCCATGGTGGTTATCTCTCTATGCGATTGGTAATGTTTGAAGCTTAGAATCCATTCTGATGTGAAATTGATAAGATGCTGATCATTGAGTATGTAATAATAATTGTGACCCTTAATCAAGACCTGAGCACCTTGCTTTTTTTTTAAATGTCAGTAAGGGGAAAACTCAAACACTTTTAATAGGCATTTGCAGATGTTTCTGTGGCTCTTGAAATGGAAATTGCAATGACTAGAAGATTCTTATGTTGTATGTCGAATAATTCTTATGATATTATTAATTCATGTTGCCTGTTTACATATATATATGAGCCTATAGTATGGATACTGTATGACTTCTTACAGTGGTATTTAATACAATAGACCTGTAAAAGTTACTACCAACTATATTAAGCACTCCTGTGAAAGTCTTCTTTACAGAAAGCGAGTATCACTCCAGTTGTTGATACACGTTAGTGTGATGTTTAAAGCTTTAAATCATGTGCAACTTGCTCTTTTCTTTCATCTCTTTTTTTTCTTCTCCTTTTTTCTTGAAGGGCGTTCGCTGGTGAATATACTGATCTGAAAGATGATGGAAACTTCTACTGTGTTGTCTGTGACAACATACTTTTCAAGTAAGCTTTTGCTTCTCATCATATCAAAAGAACTAAGGGAAGATTTTGGAAAAGATTTAAGATTTAATGGAGAAAAAAATCCTTTATTTTGTTGGTATGTGTTATGAGTGTATTTGTGAGAAAACAGAAAGGAGGAGAAGGACAATTGGGATGGAAGAGGTTGATGTTTTGTCTATACAAAAGGTGGTTAACTGTTATTGGGTTTGTATGGGTTATATTGAATTAGAAAATGCAGGGAAAAAATAGTAGATTTTATATTTATCAAGACAATTTGTAGATTAAGAGGGATAGAGTCAATTTTTAGTTTGATTTGCTATCATAAACTCTATGTTTATAATGGAGTAATTAAATGACGTGTCCTGTATGGCATGTTTATGTTGTAATGAAAATCACTTCATGTGACTAATGTTTGTCTCTAATAGCAAAACATAGCACCAAATAATGATCACCGTCAAAATTTACTATAAAAAATATGCATTCGTCGGTAGGCTTGCAATGGGGGTCCTCATGTCTCCTACGATTTACATGGAATGACCCGTGGTATTCCTGGTCAAGTAAAGGTGAATCATGAAATGTTCTTTTTTTCTCCTCCTTGTTGCAGGTCCGGGGATAAATTTGATTCAGGGTCAGGTAAGTTGTGATCATCTTTTTTCTTCTGTAAAGGCAGTAGTCATCATGTGCAAACATAAATCAGCAACAACAAAAACAACAACAACCACAACAAGAACTAAATTTCATAAAGACTCACTCACATACGACACAGTAAATGAATATAGCAATGAAGAAAGTAGGAGCATGTACCAAAAGGCTTCTACATGTCATGTAAATGTATTATTTTATCTGTCTGTTATCAGATACCGAAATGTGAAGGGCATTATGCTTTAACAAAAAATGGTGAACTGCTGTGTTTTACTGCATCTTATGTGAATGGCCTTAAGGTATTACATCATGAGTATGAACACCTCCCTGAAGGGGGATCACTTCAGCAAAAATTTTGTGATGCAAGGTGTCAAGAAGGGACCATTAAAAACACATTTGATTGATGAATAATTCAACAACATGATTATTGCACATCACTCCTGCGTGCCATACGGTAAGGACAAAAGGAAGCAAATCATATTGATGAAGAGCAAATGCAGTACACAGAAAATGTGTTGTGAATAAAACACTATTACAAAGTTTGTGTTGCCTTGTTTGTCAAACATGAACATCTGATATAATACTGGAAGCTTTTGAAGCTATTTTAGCAACAAAATATTCTCCAAATGAATTATTTAGTTTATTAATGTAATTTGTATTCCTAAGCTATGTTTGATGCTCATTGTAACTTTCCAGGTACTATTGATCAGAAGTCTTTTCTCTTTTTTATGTAAAACCATTTGAAATGCAATTACATACAATTTTGCGTAAACCTACCGGTAACCTTATAAAAAGAGTCGAATTGAAAACAAAATATTGTAAAAGCGTACTTTCATATCGTTACCCCATTTATATATGTTGTAAATGCATATTCTTTATCTTAGGTTGGCCTTCATTCTCTGACATGGCAGGCCAAGGCACTGTGAAAAGTAAAGAAGATTACAGCCATGGAATGCTGAGAACAGAGGTTGTCTGTGCTAAGGTACTGAAGAATGATAACAATTTCACTTGTATCCCAAGCAAATGTTCACCATACCAGCTGCTTGGAGCCAGAAGGGCATTAACTCATATCATTTCAATACACTATGTTAATATCCTTCTGACTCTGAACAGCGACAACACCTCAATAGTCAATTTCTCACACAAGTCAATTTTTTAACTTATCCGATAAGCAATACTATACATGGCCCCAATTCTAGACCTTTTTGTGACCGATTAAAATTGTAACCCACGCCCTTACCATATATATGTGATGAAATAAAAATTAAAAAGGAGCCAATGTTGCCAGAGAAAATTTCAGATTACTATCCCAAGAACACTGTACAATGAAGTGAATAGGAACCACCAAAGAGAGTAGAAACTAGAACTCAGTATTTTCTAGTAAATAAGTAGGCCCTCTCCTCTTTTATTTTCATCATGAATAAAGTAAAATGAAACAAATTGTTATCACTACTGGTGTTAGAAATACATCTTGCAGTAATGTTTAACATATGTATTTTTTTTTTTTATGGGGGGGGGGGGGGGCAGCCTTTTTTATGATTATTTGAAGAATCTTAAATATGAGTAACTTTGAATGAGCAACCAGGGAATTAGCCAGTAAAGTAGAATATCTTCACCAGCTACGGCATTTATTTCATGAATAGAGCACCAACATTTTTTGCATTCACCCTTACTTGTGCCCAAGTTTTGTCATCTTAACCAAGCTGAGTGGGCTTTCAAGCCATTCACTATATCCTTGATTTTATGTTCTTTTCTATTTTGTAAGTTTTGTTTTATATTGTGATTTGGATAATAAATAACATACTATACCATACCATAACCATGCCATTTTTTTTCTTCTCCCTCTTTGCCTGTAGTGTGGTGCCCATTTAGGCCATGTTTTCAATGATGGTCCTAAGACGACCGGCCTTCGATACTGTATCAACTCAGCCTGCCTCAACTTCAAGGGGGAAGCCAAACCAGGTTTATGAGGCAGCATTACCAAAGTCAGAACAAAATTACATAATATCTCGTATCAATTTTTATACTTCTCCAGTATATATTTTTGTAGGTTCATTTTCATGCATGGAGAAGTAGGATGGTCATGGTTACAGTACATGTCTGTAAAGCACAAAATTTTCTTTAGAGACTATAGCCTTTCGTGGAGATATCTGTTTCTGTAACTCTGAAAGTAATGCAGAAAGCCACAGACATGGCATTATTTAAACACAATGATACTGGCAGACTTTGCAATGTTGCCTTTTCTTACCACATTTTTTCACTATTTTTGCCAAAATTTTGAGAGGAAATCATGTTCATACTGACATCCAAGGCATTTTTTCTTCTTCAGTAGTTGAACAAAACCAATTGTGAAAAAATATTGAATCAGATAAATACAAGTTTACTGCAGCAAAATTAAGTGGATATCACAGCTATGATTTTTATGTCTGCTAGAGGTGCAATCTGTCTAATCACTGTATTGATTATTGTGCAAACTGTAAACTGGATTCAGCAAAATTTTGCTCAGTATTACAACCTTCTGAACAAATTGTTATCAATATGTATTGCAATCATTTAAGATTTTCCGACATGTATCACCTATGACTTGGGACATAAATCAATCGTTGATTCATATTTTTTTTTGTTACCTATCACATACGTTAAAACAAATTATATTGTATGTAGGAGCTTCACTATTTAGTTTTCTTGCTATGTTGATCAATTAAATCTTTATTTTACTTTATATAACAGAGAATAAATATATTTATAACTTAAAGTTTGTAAGCTATCATTTAGAGAAGAAATGTTAACCAAAGTTGTATATTGAAAATATATGTCGTCAGCATTAAGAATGGATGAGCAATTTATGCGAGATGATTGATTAAGATTATAATTCTAAAGGTGAAGGAACATTTTCAAATAACTGTCTTATGCAGTGAATATGTTATAAATATAGTGATGGAAGCAATGACATTAGAAGATGAATTTGAAAAAACGAAATGGATGCGTACTAATTATGCCTCCACTTCTAAAAATGATAAAATAACATGAAGACACTTTGTATTGTTTCATTTAGCTTATTCTTTACAGATTTCTTTGATTTTTAAAGCTTATAAACCTTTTACTTGGTTTATGGTGTACAAAGGTTTGGACTCGAGAGAGAAAGGTGATACTGGGTTTGTTATGAGATAAATAAGTTGTTATTCCTTTTCCCCCTAACGATTCAGACAATTTATTTGTGTTTATGGTTTATAACACTTTACTATTATTGTGAAGACATGATATTTAAAAGGAACAAGAAGTCAGAATAAGCCTCTCCCAGTCGATATGAAACAATCTTACTATAAGCTTGCAACATGAAAGAAATTTGATGTAACAATCATTCAAGTGATGCAACAAGCTTTAAGGATGATCAAAAGTAAATCTTGAGTAATGATTTGGCTAATGAGGTTTGATGCTATCTGTTGCTCAAAAAGTGATGTATATGATGATATATAAATTGAGGATTAATATATTAAAACTTAGTTTGCTATTAAGAACTTTTATAATGTACCAACATTTAACTTCCTCAAATTTACCTTTTTTTAAAAATATACCTTGATATTGAAATTCTCATATCATTTTTTTGAGATCCATCTCATAAGAGCTTTATGATTTCTCTATTTTTCTCCAATATCTGAATGAATAGCATTTTGTTAGCCTGTTATTTGGGTAAGAAATGAGATAATCAGTACATCTGGTAATTTGGCATACCGGTATGCTTTTCAGTTGTTATTGTTCAAAGGAAGAGGTTAATACTGTTAAATTGATCTCTTATAATGCCACGTGCTACACGTAGCTTTGCAATGTGTCTTTTCATGGTTATATCAAAGTTATAAATTAGTTTACTAAGGTTTACTTGCTACATGAGTGTGAGTGTGTATGATTGAGAGAGTGAGATCCTTGTCGAAAGATTTAATATAGTGTATATACACATTTTGTCTTGAAAATAAAGTAACATTTTGGAGTAAAAATATGTTTTACTGTGTCATTTGTTTTTTAAATACTTGAATGCATTTTGTTTTAGAATGGCAAGACATTTTACTACCTAGATGTGTAATATTTTGGAAGTGTGTAAATTGTGTGATTTAAATTCCTCTTCATTAAAGTAAGAACAAATTGTATATCTTAGACTGTATAGACCATTCCGCTCCTGTTTCCATGGTTTCTAGGAGCACTGTAGAACTTCATGCTGCAAAACTGGGGGCTATCCAAGAGCATAACAAGAGATCAATCAGCAGTGTGTCATGTAATTAGACAGGTGCATGGCCATTCCTGAACTAATCAGGAATATTCTAATTATTAAGTATACTTGATGGCTCCTCAGTCAGGGCAGCCGACTGTGAGGGTGCACTTCCATGTTTAATTCTCTGAATTAGTGTATACTGTCGTGAAACATTATGAGCAAAATACTTTCGCCCTTGCGGTGAGTTCGATGAGCGCAAAATGAAAAGTAGGATTGAAAAGCTTTCAATAGTTTACTTGTCTTCTTGGTGATTGGTGATTGGTGCTCTTTAAAGGGGAAGATCACCCCGATAATATTGTTGGTTTTAAAAGAAGTAGAAAAATGAGAGGAACGGGTCTGTGATAGTTTAAGCAAAAACCTCTTAAAAATAAGAAAGTTATGGATTTTTGAAGGTGTGGTCAATCAAACACAAATTATTAAAAATATTTTTTTTATACAACCTCTGTATGAAATAAGTCCATTCCGTCATCAATAACCAGAAAATGAAAGGTTATGAAATTTTCTGTTACAGAGGGAATTGGAGAGGAGCTTGCAAGACATTCAGTGTTGCCTATTTGTGTTTCACTGGTGACAACTTCCAAAATTCAAAAATTCAAAACTTTCCAAATATTAATCGGATATTGCTCAATTTTCCTCTCATTTTTCTGCTGTTATTAAGTCCAAGATAATTTGAGGTGGACTTCCCCTTTACACTTAAAGAAAGAAAACTAATGACACAAAAGATGATAGATTCACTCAATGCATGTATGTCATCTCCACTTTTAATACAGCCATTATCCCTGTCTGAAGAAACGAAAGAATGTGCTCTTGGATATAGTTCTACTTCAATATACTGCCTAACATAGTTTTTCAATCTTAAATACATACGAAAATACTGTACATGGTTGCAAATATATATATCAACACTGCCAAGATAGATCAAAACATACTTCTCACTTTTAGGCGATTCAAAAGATTGGCATTTCAATTTTCTTTCACAAAATTTGACATACATTATATATACTATGTGAAATATATCTATTAGTGAACTAGTTTTCTAATGCCACCTTTTCAATACAATCTTTTAAGTAGACATTGTACAGTGTTTGATATCAAGTTTGATTAGCATACAAGGGACATGAGAGTTTAGTAGAGTTGTATTATCACCATCACAAAACATTTAGAACGATAATTCCCTTGCAGGAATCACTACATGATCTAGATTCAATTTTTGGATTGTGAATCATGCATATGTACATCGACATCAATGGTACAAAGAGACATACCTCAAGGTAGTGCACAGCACCCAACATCCTGGTTCTTCCCCACATTTTTTTAAAGTAAGACGAGTCATGCTTACACGTACGCACAACAAACAATCCCTTAGAACTTATTTGAACTGTGAACATTTATTGGCTGGCAATGCCGCTACTTATACAGGAGGGGGGGGGGGATTTCCAACAATTAACATTCTACATTTCTCCTCACCAAATGTAGTTTAGAGCGACAAAAATCAGATTTCATATCCGGCTATCAAAGCCAAAGGATTATTTTACAAACAAACAAACAAAAAAGAATAGAGACGGATCCTGCAAACCAGGAAAAGATATATTTATCATTTGTCATTTGATATTAAACATGGATGCACGTGCAGTAGCTGTATGAATGGTAGGATTAAGCAACTGCCGTCTATAGATTCAAACTTCCCTGCTTGTAATGGAATTTTGCCAGTAATGTCCTCTTGATTTGAAAAAAAAATGTAAATATTAAGGAAACTCGTCAATGTTTCACTTGGAAGTGCAATCTATTAGAATTAAAATATTGGACAATGAGGTAGGATTAAAAATCATTTTTTTAAACTTCACCGAAATTGAAAGACCTACTGGTACAATTAAAAGGGTAAAATATAACAGAATCAGAAAACTATCCTTCCTTTTCTTTTCACAACAGAGAAGTTTGTCCCCCCAAAAATCTTGAAAAATATGATGAGTGGTTATTTTAATGTTTGTGCATACATGTTTGCCTTAGTGTATGTTTCACAGAGACATCCGCACAAACACCATACAAAATTATAATCCATTATTAAAACCTCTCGCTATATAAACGAAAATATAAACAGTTTTCAAAATGCTATCCTGAAGTTTATACATGGGGAATTCTAAGGGTTATCATATGATTTCAAAAATTGCCTAAATATTTTCCATTCTACGTTGTTTCTAACAATTACACAGACACATCAAAATTACGCACAAATGTATCATTATAAGTGATTGGACGATATCGGGAATGGAATGCATAGCATACGATTCACAATCTACATGCGATATCCACACGTTTCTCAACGTTCAAATTCTTTGTAATTGATTTATATTTTGGTAAAATTTACATAACATCATAGTTGAAAGTCTAGGGAAATTAGTTTGCATGTCTTTCGGGGATATATTTCATGCAATTCTTGGCTTCATTTCTTCTTTGGGATTATTCTTTCGATTTCTTTCGGGAAACAACGGCATATCTGACATACTAACTGCACACATTTCAATATTAAGAGAGCAGAATATGACGATACATCCTGCAAATATCTTCATTGCAACTCGGTTTTGTACAATACACATTTGACATACGATTTAATTTATTGAGATAGACATCAAATATTCATAATTTTTGTACAAATACTCATCATACTTCATTTCTGTGCTATAAAACTAATATTTATATATACGTCACCATCAAATATACTTACACAGTAAATATATATATAATTTCTTTTTTGATTATTTTGCAAATATTTTGCATCATATTCATTGTGCATTTCAATTTCACTATCATGATTAGTTTAAGAAGATGGCTAGAAAAAAAACTGACACATAATTCAAAAATGACTGATGCAATACTTGCATGAACAAGAACAAATACAAATATTATTCTATCTCTCTCTCTCTCTCTCTCTCTCTCTCTCTGTAGTTCTATAAAATGCAGCATGCCTTACAATGCTGCAATCTTGTGCATATCTCATAAAATGACCCACCATCTATTAAATGCTATCATCTTTAGCTACAAGATACAACCAGGATGTATCTCGGTCTTCATGAGACTGAGCTGGAGGATTTGTAGAATGATTGCTGTAACAATATGATAGGACATATTGCAGGCATCTAGAAATAGTTCTTACCTCACAAGGCAGTTGGAAAAAAAACTGCAAACGAAAGATACCAGCTCTGAACATCACATCATCCTCTTTTTATTTGACCTAAATTCATGTATAATACTTTGTTACCTATACAAAATGTCAATGAACTATAACAAACTACACACAGCGCTCAAGCACACAAACTGCTTTAAATCACCATGACAATATACATGTACAAAAATATACAATGCTACGTTTTGCTTTTCATATTTTTCCTACAAAATTGATTCCACAAGTTAACACTTTTTATCATCTTAAACAATCAAACATATTTTCATATCATTTTTTTAATGTTAATTTTAATAGTCATCCAAGGATTTGCATTAGTTACAAAACTATAAAATTCATAATCGTATGAACTACAAAAAAATGTTCTTAAATCGAATGTTATCGTACTGCTTACTCGTTTCATAAGAATTGGAAAGTGGTGATATCTACATATGGAGATGATGTAGAAATGAAGCACTCTTGGCTGAACTATACAGGTTGGACTACTGGTAATCTCCAAAACTTCCTTGGCATTTTTAATCCAGAAGTTTATCTACTGTTAATTGTATAATCCAAATAGGTTAGCAATAACATAATACTTGGGTTATACAAGGTAAATATAAGTAGAATGGATTACAGCATCAACATAACGTGAATGGCAAAGTATGACATATGACTAAGTATAAGATAAAAAAAGACACTTCAATTAACTTACTATTTTCAAGAGAGGTATTAGTCACTAAATCAAATTTTTAATTTTTTATAGAGAATGAATGTGAAAGATGGTTGTAAATATAAAAAAACAAAGACACAGAATGATAGGCACATTCCTCTGAAAATGTATGAAAAAGAAAGAATATGACATATAATATCAAGTTATGCCTAAAGAAGGCATGATTCCATGGAAAAGTTTTGAAAAAGTCTTGTAAGAAGAAAGGACACAAAATTTTCACCATTATTCAAAGGCATCATTGAGTAGTTTATATCGTATCAAGACATAGCCAAGGTCTTTAATTTCCTTCATCTTTAACCCATATTTTTTTTCCAACTGAATTTGTTTAACCCCCCCCCCCCCCAAAAAAAAAGTAAAGCTAAACTTCCAATGCCACAAAATAAATAACTGAAATACATATATAACTTGACCTCGTTCTTCTACTCAAGAGTAGATAATGAGCTTTGTATTCAAAAATAATTTCATATGTTCAAATGCGCAATTTGGTATTTTGTAATCATGCATTACATATCTTATAAAAGAAAGGAAATTACTCCTACCACAACATTGTCAAATTATGTATAGTGCATATGGCATGATTTCATAATTCTTTTGGAATTCATTTTGACCCAAGCTGAAAGCCATGACTCATCATAAATATCACATACATATCAGTATGAGCTAATAATGAAATATTAAATAATGTACACACAAAATAAAAGATAGGTGAAGTTTGTAAAGTAAAAAAACAGAAACATTAACAAATAATGAGGCAGGCTCTCTCCAACATGATCTACATGTACATGACATTTCACAACAACAAAAAATATATTCAAATCCACCCTTTATCCAAGGAATGAGTGAAAGAAATGTATACTGTACATCACAAGGAATGTTTAATCATTTGTTTTAGAATTAACTAAATAGTTTGAAAGGCACAACACATTCAGCATGAGTATTATTTGTTGGTATACGTAAAACTGAAAACAACCAGTACAAAACATGCAGTTCTGAATTGCATTTCAAAGAGAAAAAAAAATTGTAAATTTTCTTTGACAACCAGATATATTATTCCATCTCATTTCAATTATATTAACTATATTTTCTTGATTTTATAGAAATATTCTTGAACACCAGGCTCACTGAATGAATGATTGATCTAATGGCATCAAATTATTCAAGTGATTCTAATCACTTATCAAACAGATTTCAAAAATTAAAGTGTTAAAATGGCTTGGGTGATTGCAAAGATGATGTGGATTCATTATTTTGAAGAGGTAATATCATTGTAACAAAAGCAACATTTGAGAATTTGTTATTTGATCATTGCCTTCATCAGATACTCCCACTCTAATTTGATCAAAATTTGCAAAAAATCAATTGCAAATACCTATCCTACTACCTAATACCTAACTAAAGAAAAAAAAATACATAGAAAAGAAGATAAGATGAGGTATTAGAGTAGTAGCATCAGATTCCTTCAAGAGGTCAACATTTCTCAAGTGGATGTGTTCTAAACATGGAATTTCTATGAATTCTGCAAATTTACAAAGATAATCATTCGACAAGAGTTGATTTCAATATTAACCCCTGCACCACCACATCATCATACAACAAAATTAATAGCAAAAACAATGTGACAGTACAGAGGAACCAGAGCCCCTTGAAACACACACAGAACAGATCAAAATCCTTTGTGATTTTGATACTATTTCTCTTCTTACAGCCTATTATTTCTATAAAAGTATACTTATACTATACCTACTTATTAAGTAGAAAATCTGCAGTTGATATGCACCGTACACATGTATCAATTGACCATCAACCACTCTTGGATACCGCTTAACTTCCATGTATAATTCGTTCCCTTTGAGGGTACATCATGGACAATCCTGGGATTAATCTTCATCATCCCAATATGTAGAAACCTACCACTCAGAAAGTATAATGTACATCTAGCTTCATCAGCTTCGTATCACTCTCGGGATAGTGATGATGATGGTGATGATGATAATGATGATGATGAGGATGAGGATGATGATGATGAGGATGATGATGATTAGGATGATGATGATGAGGATGATGAGGATGACGATGATGAACGCATGAGGCAGCCTGGAGCTGATGAGTGAGTGTAGGAACGGAGAAGACAGGGTCACCAAAACCCTAAGAATGCCAATGACGGCGGCAGTATACAAACAGAAAAGAACTAGTAGTGCTCAAAGAGTGAAACTAGGGTGTCCCTCCAAGTTTGAAGAGGGGGGCGGGGAGGGTGTGGGGAAGGGGATAGTTGTTGATACTCAAATATCATGTTGGCCATTTGTTGCTCTCTCAGTTGACAAGTCTAAGATGGTATCAGCTCTCACGATGGCTTTCTGCTCGCCACAGGTTACTTTCTCAACACGAAGCCTGGTAATCCAACACAGGGTTATAAGGAGGGGGTTCTGTCTTTGGAGAAAGCGGTTCTCCGACTCTCTAGCGTCTATTTCTCTGCCATGGTGGGGTTGGTGAAGGAGAAACCACGGAATTGACGTTGATTGATGGAGCTGAGCATGGAGGTGTCTGTAGGGGAGAGGGCCACTTTCTCCATGGTGAACTCGGGGTCAAAGTTGCTGGCGTCACCATCGCTTTTCTAGTGATTGCGGAAGATAAGATAATAACAATGACATTTTTTGAAAACTGCATATATCCATCCAAAGGGGTGCTTAAAGGGATCGTTTAACAATGTTGAATCTGAGATACACGGTCCTACATGTTACCAGTGTCTGTGATATGGTGTAATATTGAAGCCCTAAAAAAAAATCGCGCTTCAAAATGATCAAGAAGTGCCTCAAAAAAGTAAAAATCTTTGAGTGATCGGTTTTACCATACTCGTTTTCCCTAATAGACTGTAGTGTTATGAAAACTGTTTGGTGAACGGTTTTCAAAATTTGTAATTCCAATCATTAATATCTTGATAATCGGACAGACGATCGGCTTGTAAAAGTCATGGAGTTCCTGACTGACCTAAAGGTTTATAATTGTCATTGCAGCACGAGTTAAATCAAGGATTATTTCTAAAGGATCTAAGACGAAGTTACCGAATCCCTTTAAAGGTACTATGTCCCATTTGCAGGCCAAAAAAATGAAAAAGTTAAATTCCAACTGCATTTGAAAGATAATACTAATTTAGAACTTCCCTAAAAAAGGTGGGGCTTGAAAATGTCTTCAAGTGGGAAAATAACGACTATTAGGTGTCAAATCGACTTTAGGGCTATAGAGCCCAAAAGTAATAGTCTTGATTTTCAGACGATTGTACCGAATGGTCATACGTTTTATGCAGCGCAAATATTCAATCAGTTTAATCTTGGCCATCACAAGAAGTGTTTTATTGATGTAGACAAATGCTCATGTACCTTTTACAACTCTTTTCATGTATGTTATTACCAAAGAAGAAAAAAGCCAGTCAGTCACTCAATAGTGTCTGACAGTGAAGTCTAGCAAGTAAACAGGTTTCCTTGCATAATTTGAATATGAGGACACTGCTAACGTTTAAATTTCACAGATAGGACATACATGACATATTCATAATTCCTGCAAAGTTCTACAGCATTTGAGGTTGGCTGCAAAAGGGACATAGTACCTTTAAGGTACTTCAATCTCTACAAAAATTGTATGGAAGATGAGTATATAACACATAAAGTAGACTAGAGCAGGGGGGGGGGGGGGGGACATTTATCTGTATTAAACTGTGTCATGTAAAATTAGACATGGTTAGCCCTGCTTTTTAGTTCTCATTCTTAGTTACTATTCATCCTTACAGTGAAAAAAAAAGCTCCCACGAGACTCGGCTTATCGTTTAGTAATAACATGAATCAATACAGAAGATATTTTTTTCAATTACAATAACACCAGTTGAAGCATACCTAATCAATGCTAGAAAACATGTTAATTTAGGAAAAGTTGTTGAATTGGCTTCTTACTATGGCTGACAATAACATGCACTTTATTCTAACAAAATGTCTGCAATTCAAGTAAACAAAATGTGACTGAGTGGCTACATGGATATGAAAAAAAAAACATTATTATACATATATAAACATTTCATGTAAAGTATTTTCATGTTCTTTCATATACATTTCATCATACATAGTTATATCATTTTATGTAATATATGAAAGAAGATTTCAAAACTTACAATTTTGGGCTTGAATGGTGGTGGAAGTTCTCTCCTTTCTAGCTTCTCAAAGTCAATGGATTTGAAGAACTGATGTGCTCGAACATCACCCTTGACTCCAAGTCGGACCTCAGGAGTGCGTTCCAACAACTGTAATCAAAGAGAGACAGAATATAGAGAGTTATTGTATTAAAACATAATTATTTTAAGTTGAGAACCTATGGTTCATATCACGGAAATGATTTCAGCACTAGTAACAGAGTATACATGTAGCTTATTAATAGATTTTTTTGTACAAGTACCCCTGGGAAGCTGCAAGATTAACTCTGTGTTTAAAGATAAAGTTGAGTTCTGGTCAGGCCATTGCATTGTGAAAGAAACGGTATGCAATCGATCAAAAAAAGTTTATCATGTAGCATATAAGTATTGGTGTGTACTGCAAGGTTCTGGAGTCATCAAATTGATAAGAAATTTGGCCCAGTCTTGGTAGTAACAAGCACTGTACACAGAAAGATGTATATGGGACTACACAAACATGTGGCATAAAAATCAGGCCTCATTTTTAAAACTATTACCTGTCATATTGAGAGTATGAAGGCATTTGAAGAGCCATGCTTCTCAGGGTACATTTTTACTCTGATGTTCTTCCACACTTGCATAATAACAATGATAATGCTCACTAATTGTTTTCACCACTTCCCCAGAACTCAACCTTCTCTTTAAGTACATGAGTTAACACCAGTCTGGTCCTCAGCAGATAATATTTGATTTAATTTGGAATCCCCTGTGAGAAGTCTGGGAGTGATTGATGCTTACCTGTATTAAGCAGCTATGTGCATCTTTGGTCAGCCATCTTGGAAAATGAGGAGCATCGTGGAGGATACAATCAAACAATTGATCTTCATCTTCACCGTGGAATGGGGATTGACCAATCAACATTTCATACAGCAGGACACCAAATGACCACCAGTCAACAGAGGCAGCATACTTCTGGCCCTTCAGAATCTGGGTTAAAACAGAAGAACGGGTCATAAAAACAGTTTTCAAAATTGTCAAAAAAGTGGTTTCGGTTGAAAAATCTTTTTACCAAGTGATTGACATATGCATATGTTTGTATTATCAGCCTGACAGTTCATTGATTTCAGTGAATTCACTGTATATTTGATTGTATATTGTAAACTGCTACAATAATTGATGTTTTAATTTTTTTTTTTTTTTGTATATATGTATAATACATAAATCCCTGATTTATTTACTGTCTAATTTGTTTAACCCAATAATACATTTTCAATTGACCAGGTCTGCTGACTTTTTGCATATAGTTATTGGATACATAGACATAACTAGATCAGCAATTATGTTGCTCATAATTATTCAAAATGTGCTTTTGGTGCCAGTTATATTCAAAAGAAGAACACTATAAATACATATCAAAAGGATTATCACTGTATATAGACGTTATGCAAATCAATGTTCCTTTGGAATAAGCTGAAATTTAATCTAGCTATTAATTTTTTCTTACCATGGACCCAGCTCCTAATCTCTATATTTGGGTACAAAGCTTCTGGTGTGAAAAAGTGCTGTTCTTCGATGCTACTCCTTATCCAAGCAAATCTTTAGAAACTTGTTACAATATCTTTAATGACGATGTCCTTCGACTTACCTCTGGGGCAATGTAATCGGGCGTTCCACAGAAAGTACTGGCCTTTGTTTCTCCTGTGATGTTCTGCTTGCACATACCAAAGTCAGCGATCTTGATGTGGCCATCCCGGTCCAGTAGGACGTTATCCAGCTTCAAGTCTCGGTAGATGATACCCCTCTTGTGAAGGAACTGCAGGCCACAGATGATCTCAGCTGCATAGAACCTAGAAATAGCATAATACAACATCATGAGGGTTCAGTGACACAAAGACATAACTCCATATTTTGCCAAAATGAGTATTTGATATCAAAATGTTCAAGAAATTGTGGGCTTTCAAGGAAACACAAAGACTTAACTCCACCAAACACCCAATGGAAGTCAATGGCTAGTGAAACATAGACTTAACTCCTTAAGGCCCAAGTGCTCAGTGACACATAAACCAATTTTTCTCAAAATGGCCAAAATGGAGTTACGTCTTTGTGTCACTGACCCCCGATCGACCCCCGATCGACCCCCGATCTCTGCTATGGTATTCTTTAATAGGAAACAACGGCACACACCATAGCAAACTGAGAGTGATAGTTGTGACAGGTGTGCATGAGTGCGGTCAAAGGTTAAATCATAGAGCTCTGAATAGTTTCCTCCATGAAATGACAGATCAATCAGAAGCAACTCCCTGGGAGTGTTTCACAAAGACTAAGATCGACTTAAGTTGGACTTGAACTATGGCAGGCTGTTCATGCCACTAGTCCCTCTAACTATTCCTGGCATTGGTTACTCAAGGGACATACAAATCGTGGTCACAAATTTACAGAACTTACTTTTTTTGATAGTCCATTATTGAAGGAAAAATATCTAAAGATCATAAAGTCTAAGGTTTTTTCCATCTAATTTTCCATCTAGTTAAGACTTTTAAAGGGCATAAATCGCAACCAATTATGAGTCCAAGTCTTAAATACAACTTGAATTAAAAATGTGACGTCCCTTGAGAGACCAATGGTGATAGTAACCAGTGGCATGAATGGCCAGCCATAGTTCTAAGTCCAACTTAAGTCGATCTTAGTCGATGTGAAACAGCCCCCTGATGACACAAGTATCTCTCTCAACTAGCTATGGCACATAGGATCCTCGACCCACCCAAGAGAGGAACATGCCACTGTTCAGAAAACACAAAGCAGAGCAATACTCGGACATTGACAGAATATGGAATAAATTACAATGATAAAGTTTGAATGACTTTTATCCTAAATATCATATTGTAATTGTTTTAACTACACTGTACTCCTATTAACAGATGGTAAATTGCACTCACAAACACTGCAGAAGAATGCAATTGTACACATCAAATACTTGCAAATGATTTTTCATATTTATCTATATGTAAAACTGGACTAATTTTTTTTGTTTTTGAGAAAAACTATAATGTTCTATATCATAGTACTTTCCTTCATTGTCAAAGCAAAAAAATTAAAAGTTGAACGTAGACAAAGTTGATGAGAGAAGATAATTTCATTACCTAGCTCTCTTTTCTTCAAAGCGTAGTGAGGACTGTATATGGAACATGAGATCACCACCATTCAAGTACTCCATCACAAAGAACAAATGCTCCTGTAAAAATCAACCACAGAAGGGTAAAGAAAATTAGTATTAAGCTTCTACGAACTTTAACATCTAGAAAATAAGATGCTTTCCACTCCCGATAATATAAGTATTAAAGCCTGTCTGTACTAGTTTGGCCAGGAGGGATTAGACCACCCAGCGTGGTCACTGACGGGTGGCTATCTCATCAACTCAGCTCTCAATTAACATAAGAAAAAGAGGATCATGGGGAACCAACAGGCACTGCTTTATAGGTATTATTTTCTATATAGAGGGAGCAAGTAGCTACAAGTAGTACAGTGGGCTTTTAATAGTTTAACAATAAATTTTTAAATATGTGTTTTGAAGTGGAGGTACAATAAATTTTGCTGGAACCAGACCAACTTCACACTCTTGAGTCATCAATTTTTCAAAGAAAATGTACAATATATGCAAAACACAGTAATTGTGCATTTCAATGGATGAGACTTACAACAAGGTTTTGCTACTTTCTTTATATTGTGGGGTTCAAAACCCTTCTACTGCAAGATGAATAAATGAACCAATTTAACCCTACGTTAACTGGGGGGGGGGGGGTCAATTTGACCCCCCCCCTGTAGAAATTTCGCGACTACTCCGAAACCGCGGCAGATATAAAATTTTCCTTTCATGACTTTTTTCTTTCGAGTCTTACGCATCTTTTAAAACAATTTTTTCGAAAATCGGACGTATAGTTACGGAGTCACGTGACATTTTGTTGTTGCATGTCAGCCCAAAAATCGCTCATTTTTGTGATTTGTGTACAAAACATATGGAAATGTCATTTTTCCTAAAAAGAGATAAAACATTGGTTATTTAGTCTTGTTTAAAGTTTGGGTGTTTGTTTTAGGGTCAAAATAGTTGAATTGTAGTTATAAATCAAATAAAACAACAAAAACAATGAAATACATAAGTTGAAAAAACAATGAAATACATAAGAAATTATCAAAACAAGAGATAACATAAGGAATAACCTGGCTCTTCTAATTTTTTGTGTAGTATTATTATTCCAAATGGTCTAACAAATATATGTAGTGAAAAAGAATGCTTAAATATCAATAATGTATGATTTATGGGCAAAAATGTCAATTTTATGACCTTATTTGCATAAATTACCATAAATATGTAAATGAGTGAATTTTTCAAAAAATTGAAATTACCATAGTATTCTATACACTTCACTTGACATGTATGCAAATTTTTGCAGCGATCGGCCGTGAAACGGCCGAGATCTTAAGGGGGGGTCAAATTGACCCCCCCCCCCCCCCCAAGTAAAAACCTGGTCTGAAATAGCCCAGTTAAAATAGGGTTAAGCCAGATTCTCAAGAAATGCAATCCGTTCAGAAAACCTTAAGACAAGCTGTAATCACTGATTTTCACCTTACAACCGTTTCTTTTTCTTCCCTGGCAGTACTATTTTGCATAAACCACCAATTGTTGAAATAAGTAGTTTCTATTAACTTTTTGCATCAAATTATCCATAACACTCCTCCTAGAGTCTGATTTCATACAAATTCATGCTACCTGCAAAGTAAATCTTCTTTCATCCACTACATAAAATCGGTAAGATTATCCTTAGGGGAAAGGAAAGTGTGATCAGATAATCTACCACGACATCTACATAAAGGTTAATAACTTGCTATTTCCTCTTGGCGATGGTTTCATTTTCATTATATATGCCTTTCCAAAGTCATTAATCCCAAAGTGTCTTCTTCTACGTCTTCAAAAGATAAAGCGATGGAATAAACACATGGCTGTACATGACACTAGTCAGTTTCTTTCTAGATTATTTTGTGTTCTGCCCAAATAAATCTTGACCATTCTATTGGTTCTAATTATTAGTATCTTCAAAAATCCATCTACAAGTATGTTATACTGATGTGATGTCCTCAAAAAATCATGTAACCAAAAAGGAATCACTCTTTCATGAGAATTAAAAGCCCTAAGTATGATAATCACTTCAGCTTTTAATAACAACAATAAGGGCTCAACCATTCAAGGAATTCCTTCCTACTAAGTACTCATTTACTTTATCGTCTGTTTGGAGCCAGAAGGGCATTAGCTCATATGATTTTTTAAAAGGTGAACGCCCTTCTGGCTACAAAACGGGTGATATTGAAACGCGGACTGAAGAACTTGCCTTGCTCTGGAAGGTGCAGTATAGATGAGTAAGGAATGGATGGGCCCAGGCCAGCCCTAGAACGTGTCTCTCAACCATGGTGCACTCGATGTCATCGTCCTCCAGTACGACCTCCTTCTTAAGAGCCTTAATAGCAAAGTACTTTTTGGTTCCTTTCTGCTCAGCTAACATAACCTGAATTGAAAAAAAGAATATAAATTTTAAAAAATGCAGGATGATGGTGAATTGTAAGAACAAAAAAGTTGCTCTTGATGTCGTGTTGCCTGTACAATCCAAGATGGCACCTTTCCACCTCCTGGCTCCTCTGTTTAAAGCCGGTCTGCACTAGTTTGGCCAGGGGAAATTGGACCTCCCTGCAAGGTCACTGACAGGTGGTTATCTCATCAAATCAGCTTTCAATTAACATGAGGAAAAGGGAATCATGGGGGACCAACAGGCACCGATTAGGCATTGTTTGCTATATAGAGGGCGCAAGTAGCTACATGTATAAGTAGTACAGTGGGGCTTTAAAAAAAAAACTAAAGCTATTTTGACCTGTTTTAAAAAAATCTGTAACCAGTTGCATCCAGGGTTCTCACAGGTGCATAACACCCTTGATGCCAACATCAAATGTGAGGGATTTCAGAAAGAAAAAAACAACCTTTGACCAGCGAAATTCTTAAGTCTTCACTAATCACCCACCTACGATGTTGCAAAGCCATATTTATATCAATTAGGACATGGGTTAATCCTGTCTGAGAAACCTGACTGTATTACTGGTGTCGATGACAATGATTTTTATTTCTAAAACGGCCCCTTCTGTTGAGAAGAAGCAAACTGATTTTACAACAAAAAACAAAAACATGAAAGTATCACATACATTGTTTTACCTTCTGGAGCAACCAACAAACAAGTGAAGGCTGGAATCAATTTAAATATAAGTCATCAATTGACATAAATAACTATATCTACTATTTCACAATTGTACAAATTTAGGTGGAACTTACTTTGCCAAAGCTGCCTTTTCCTAGTACTTTTTGTAGCATGAAGTCATCAATGCTGTATTTCTGTACCGCTACGGGTCTGTCAGGGGGTCCCCCATCCGTAGTCCAGAGAGGCTCATACACAGCTCTGAAAGAGGAACATTGTCACATCTTGATTGGTCAACTACTATGTTTTCAAATTTTTATATTCATTTAATTTTTCAACTTTTTATATTTATTTCATTTTTTAACTTTTTATATTAATATAATTGTTCAGCTTTTTATATTCATTTCATTTTTCAAATTCATTTATATTAGTTTTCAATTTTTTATATTCATTTTTATTTGTTTACATTTTTATATTCATTTAAAATACTGATAGAGCTTTATATGAAACAATAAAATGTCTGCTTAATGTTGCAAATTTGCTACAAACTGTCTTTACAAAAGAGCCATGCAGGTTCCGTGACAGTTTTTACATGAACAAAGAATGAAAATAATACAATCTTTTACAGAATTTGATCTCGTGCAAGCTTCTTCTTAATTAATAGAAATCATATTCATTTCTAGACAACTCACAGCAATATAATGTTGATTTCATCCTTCATCTTATAAAACTTATCCTCTGAAGGACAGCTGGAATACAAACATTACTCATTGATGAAAACCACTCCCACATGAATTGTTTTGGACCTTTTTTTTTCTTTCTACTACATATATTGTTTTACTATTTCCTCTGTGAAACGTTTCATTCTAGATATACTTGGTAAAGGTTAATTATACCCCCTTTCATAGTGCTCCTATCGATACTCACACCGATGTAAATACTGATTGAATTTTCCTGATGTAAACAAAGGTAAAACCGCCGCTTTCCCTGCTATCCTTTTCATACTGCGGGTGAAATGCACTCGCTGTGGCGAGCCCTTGCCGGCAGTGTAGAATTATTGCGCAATTATTAAGCCCGCACCCCATCTAGTTAGCATAGAGCATGCGCAACAAAATCCAATAAACACAGCTGGTTACGATAAAGCGTGCGTACACTGCGACCTTTGACCATTTTCATCCGCCTTTTAATTAGTGTTTTCTCCCGAACGCATTCACAGTGGCCGTTTGATCGGTGTCACACCGATAGAAAAAGAATTTCTCCTGCTCTTAAGCAGGAGAATTTAATTGCCTATTTCTCTTCTTTTTATCGGCTATTCTATCGGCTTTTTCTCCTTTGTACCATTCATAGTGGCCGTTTCATCGGATGCGTCGGGATGCATCCAATGAAAATCAGGCCAGTTTGAAAGGGGTTTTAGAGATCTAAATACACCTTGAAAGAAAAAAAAAGGTAAAACTCACTCATCTAGATCTTCATCATCATCAGGTACGTATCCATGTTTGCCATTGCCTGCTCCGGGCGGTAACTTCTTATCTTTCTGTTAAAGGTTATACAAAGTTTTGGTATGGGGTCATGAATTTGGTTCAAATGAACATATTAGAAGCATATGCGATCCTACAATATTCTGTGATCGTTGTCGCGGTTGAAATTGAGTCTAAAGTTATGAAATTGTGAATAATAAACTCTTTATGTTGTATAGCTCCCTCTCAAGATCAAGATGTTAATTAAGCTATACAACAATATTTCTTAATTGACTAAAATCGACCGATTAGCTATTCCCGTTTGGAAATAATATATCACAACATATTCTGAGATTTTCATGGTCGCAGCTACCATTGTTCGGCCGTAGGCGCCATTTAAAATTTATCAAAATTTACCGGGAGCACCGGTAAATGTTGATATTTAATTTTCCTCCAAATCAGAGTGTTTTAGGGGCTAAATTTTCCAGTACTTATAATACATCTACAGGAGCATCCAAATATATCAAAATTGTAAAGAATCACCATCCACCCAATTTTCAAAATTTCCCAAAACTTTGTAATACCTTTAAGGCAAAAAATATAATTATAACAATAACTAAATGTTTTTGTTTATCACATAATCGCATATCTCTATGCGCTATGAAGAATACATTTGAAGTCCAAGTATTCATATTCTATTACTATCTAAATACTGATGTAGAAAGATTTTTTTTTTTTTTTTTTTTTTTTTTGGGGGGGGGGGGGTTCGCAGATGCTAATTTGAATGAAGAGAGTAGAGACCTTTTAATGAATATGAATGAAAAACAAAATGCATAAATATCAAGGGTGACACTAAGCAAACTGTGACTGAAATAAATGTTTCATGAACTACATGTACAAGAAAAGTCATTCGCATGGGAAAATGAAAGAGAGGTATTCTTAAAATTTATAATTTTGTACTTTGAAAAGGGCATACAATTTTTTTGATTTCAAAAACCGAGTTTAAAAAATCAAAGAGAGATTGGATATGTGTTTTTTTCTCTCTCTCTGCATTATAAAGCAGCATTTGATGATGAGTAGACATATTTTTGTGTAATGTATAATTATATGATATGTTTTTTTTTTCTCTCTCTTTTCTCTTTTTTAAAACACAAGCATGTAAAAATAAAAAAAGGCTAGATCATTCTGTGACATGAATAAAAATCTACTGCAGAAAAAACGCCATCGTTAAACAAGAATATGAAAAGGCTATCCCAAATATAACATCACTGGTGTAATTTTAATTAAATAATTCATAAGGTATTTTACATAGAGAAACAGACTGTAGCTGAAATTCTACAACTAGAGCTCCTAGGAAATCCTGAGAGCTTTGAATTAATACCATCACATAATCTCCCAGATATACGGAACAACAAATAGGAGGCATCTTCTTTTGTGGTCTACCAAACGCTACTGTAAACAATTCTCAGTCAAAACCTCTGTTTAGATTAACTTTTTTATCACATAGATCTGATTAGCTTGTATGCACAGACAAACATGGTGAAATAATGAGAGGATTGAGCCTTTGAAGCTTCACAGAAACTACACACATTTGAGTGTAATCATGAGATTGAATCACGGTCTCAGATTATTACTAAAAATGCACATGAATGAAGAATGTTCGGCCATACATGTTGCTTATGATTTCATGAAAAGTTCTTTAATATATCTACAGGAAATAGTGATCGCCACATGGAAACTAGTACAAAGTACGGATAAGAGAAAGAGGGTGAAAGCCACTAAAAGGGCATTTGAGATTCCAAATCAATATTCTGCTATCCACATGCCACCTGTGATATTAAATATTAATGTATCTACACGAACTTCTTCAATCATATCTGTTTTCATTGTCCATTAAAGTAGTCACCCGAAGAAAATTCATGACAACTGATAATCATGGACAAGTTATGAAAAACACAAATAATTTTCTGAAAAATCATATCAATATCATGGAAGTGTAAAATGCAATTTTGTGGCTAGCTGTGTCTCATATGTGACGTCACGGATCTTGACGCTCTACGGAGGACCGCTGAAGGCAGAAAATCTCAAAATTAACATTTTTGAGAGAAGAATACTGCGGGCCCCAAACATATTTGAAGAGGGAAGTTGTTATATATGATCAGTAAGGCTTCCCCTTTGCAATGATATCAAATTTGCATCAATTCAAAACACTTTTGATTCTTTGGGTGACTACTTTAATGAAATTCAAGGAAAACTATCTGAAAGATTGTTGGTTTTGAAAGATGGTGGTACTACAAATATACATGTGGGCAATGAAAGTTGGGAATCCTAACTGTTTTTGTCTCTCTGTCATCATGAATACAAAACAAAAGTACTTGTGACAAGACAACTACAGCAGTTTTTCTATTATGAGAAAGAATGACTGAAAATGAAAGAAGGGATAAAAGTTTCAACAAGTGATCGAAAATGTCTCTGAAGTGTTGACATGATCCATAGATAGCACAAATGGTTCATTGTACAATTCCGTAGTGAAATTCCCCAATGTGAACAACAGAAAATACACTTATAGCAGAGAGGAAGTGTTGATACAGTCACTTAATATGAAACAGAAGTTTGGTACATTACATGAACTCTTGTGACAAAGAATATCAAAGTCATGAAATGAACTGTTCATTTTGTATTGCATGAATAAACTTTGAAAGTGGACTGCTGTTAAACAACAACAAATTGTGTGAGTGAAAATTCTTAAAATTTTAATGCCGGCATATAATTGAAACTGAAACAACACTGAATTTTGTAATTTGCAAAATTCTCTAACCCATGAAAAGCGCTCTCATTTACAAAAAATGTAAGATTTTCATGCCGCAATTTTTTTTTTTTTTTTTTTTTTTTTTTAAACAGTAACTGGTTTGGTATATAGTTTGATAAGTAGAAAGCAAATATCCATATAAGATATAACCTCTGCTATAAAATTTAAAAAAAAAAAAAATAACCTGAGAATGACAAAGTAATTTTTTCCCCTTTTTTTTCCAACTGAATCATCATAAAAGGAGATCTACATGTAATGAAACAAAGGAAGTTATCAAAATTCATTTGAACAGTAACCATAACCTTATCACAAGTAAACATAGAAAGGAACAAAGATCAGATGATGTATCACTGGTATACGTTTTTCTGAGAAAATAGGGATTTCCCCATTGATGTCCTCTGTCTTTGTGCCACTTGGTCTAAAACTCAGATTACATAATTATGTCTACAACCAATGATTTGTATCAATGTCCTCTTTGAAAGTAAAAAAACAACAATTGAATAGTCCCAAGCACTTTTGACACTTAAGGCCATTTACATGCGTCAAAATGCCTTACAAAATGTTTTAAGCAAACTTCCTCAAACTATATCTAACTTATCTACCTCATAAAATAATTCAGGAAAACAAATTCTGAAACTACATGTATATCGTAAACTTAACACAATTTTTTTCTAAATTGTGAAATACTACTCTAACTAAGGCATGTCAAACTAAAAAATACTAAGACTGCATGCTTTGAACGTACATTCATTACATGAAAGATATTTTTTCAACTTAGAATTATTATAATGAAATAAACATACAGTCTAGCCAAATATCTATTACAGATAGAACTAATTCTTTCATACTGATGGAAAAATGTTGTCTTATCTAGCAGCCTTTTCTTTAAAAATGACATTCTATGTACTCAGATAAACACTTTGACGCACCAACAAAGATTAAGGCAGACTAAAATTGTTCATTTAACATTCAGATCATAACTTCAACCATTTCTGTTCATATAATTCTCTGCACGTCGACTTTCTGCTGAGGATATATGATGGCAAAAAAAGAAAACAATGGAGTGCTTGCAAAAACTTCCATTATATTGCTGTATTGCTCAATCATGAATATATTTCATGCTGAATATTCAAAATAATCTTAAACTGATATAGAAAAAATAAACTTCTGTTCATGTTTTGTTATTCCGCACCATGCAGCTACATACATGTTAGACTTGGTGCATGTACCTACGGAAATGCTTAAGTGTGAACTGTGATTGCAATACATATCGTACATGCACTGAACTTAATACATTGCAAAAGCGTTTCATGGTCATTCTTTCTGTGCTCTATTCCTTGTGAATTCAGACAACGTCTGCTCATTTAAAACTGAGAACAGTAAATATATGGAGTCAGAGGACTCATCACATCCCCTTCTCCAATTTATTTGTATAGATATAAAAAAAAACTTTGTAAATCTATTGTATATAAGCGAAGATAGTAGCATGCAAGAATGCCAAAAACAGCATGGTAGTGCTAAACAGGCCTGGGACCACCTACATTTATACATGGGGACATGAAACATGACAATGGCATCAAAAGTATACATTTAATTAAACAGGAATAGGCTATATATTAAATAAAAGAGTGGAAACTACTGAGATATAACCTTTTTTGTGTCTAAATTTTTTTTTAAAGAATTTAGATAGATTTGAGACTGAGAAAGGGCATTTCAGTGCTATCAATTGCAAACTGGTTCAGTAACGATTCTTTTCTTTTCTGTGCAATGTTTCCTGCATTATCTAGTGCCATTACATGCAGTTCTATCAAAATCAATTGCAGCCATATTTGGGGAGGTTGTTTCAGTTTTAGTAGATTAATTAATATCTAGATTCCAGAACATGTCACGCAATTACAGAAAAGGGGAATTTATTTTTTCAGCTTCTTTTCCCCTGCTCTTTTTACTTGAATTTCAAAAGCAACAATACTAAATTCATTTAATCACCTTCATTACTCCAGTGCTCAATTTGATTCAACAGCTGAATTTACTAATCAGAAATGACTCCTTTCAATAAAATCACACCAAAACTTTATGATAAAGTTGAGTTCTGGTCATGCGATTGCATTGTGAAAGAAACGTTGTAGAATCGATCAGAAAAGGTTGATCATGTAGCATATAAGTATTGGTGTGTACTGCAAGGTTCTGGAATCATCAAAATGACACTCAGTTTTTCATTATCTCACAAAAAAAATTATTTTGTGTAGCGCCCTTTTCAACAGAACTCAACTATCCCTTTAAAGAGATAGTTGACTTCTGTTGCAGAGGGCGCTACACAAAAAAAAAAAATTTGTGAGATAATGAAAAACTGAGTGTCAAATTTGAAAGAACATACAATTTAAATGACAAAATCATCTGTTTGATCAAAATCGGTACAGAGACTGCTGAAATATCCATAAATATAATAATTTCTAATATTTGTGTAACACCACAAATATTTGATAATTTGAAAAAACGAAATAGCGCCTTTTATGTTGTATTTTAGCCCATGCCGATGTTGGCTTTTTCGCGTTGGTTTTATTAAGCCCAACCAGCCGGCCCATGTATTGTTATTATTAATTAAATTAATAGTCACCATATTTTTTTTAAAGTGGAGCTAAATTTGTATGATCATTTTAGCTAAATTTCACAAATTTTGGGGTCTAAAATTCCCTTCATAGCAATTTTAGGTTCTAAAAGGGCACTACAAATGTCACAGATAAGAATAAGAGCAATAACCATGCACTTTGAAGGCATTTGCGGTCTGAAAACAGAACTCAACTATCCCTTTAACAGCATGACATCTTGTCTTTAAATTCATTTTTATAATAACCCATATGATCAAATGAATCCAATTGAAAGTAAAACCAATCAAATGAAGCCCAGCAAAACATTACCTTACAATTCATTCAATCCTTTATAAAAAAAATTCCAGGCAATAATCCAATTCAGTAATATAATCTATTTAGCATTATAATCTACAGTAGAACGTATATCATTTTTTTTTTTTTTTTTTTACCAGAGTGCATGTAGCTCTATCATGCTACCATGCATGATTTATGAAGCTTTGATATTATAACTGACGATCTGATCTCTAGCAACTTTGCAGCTGTTTTTTTTTTTCTTCTTCATTTTATAGCAACTTTCTTTTTTTAACAACTTTCTTTTTTTAACTTTTATTGCAAATTGATATATGGCACTAATAAAATCTAAATGTTTTTATTTTGTTTGGTATCATATTGCATTTGAATTCTATCTTGAGTGCTAAAGTCTTAAAGCTTATCAACACTAGTGTGGCTAGGAGGATTAGACCACACAGCGAGGTCACTGACAGGTGGCTATCTCATCAACTCAGCTCTCAAATAACATAAGAAATAGAGGATCATGGGGGACCAACAGGCACCGATTAGGGAAGTTTTCCTATATAGAGGGAGCAAGTAGCTACAAGTAGGACAGTGGGGCTTTTAGAATACTATTACAGTATATCTATATTGGTATTTTCAGCACATGGATTTCAGTTATTTTCTAATAATTAATTATAATCCATTTAGCATTATAATCTATGATAGAACGTGAAGTCCCACACATGTGATTTAATGCAAGTTTTTCTAAGTAAAACCTAATGCCAACTCTAGGGAAATGTGCCTCTATCAATGTGATGAGATGAGAGTTATCTTGATTAACCAGATGAAATGCTCTATTTGCATTTCGCAGTATGACTAAAATGTGCATTACAGCTTGTGAAGGTGAAAAGAATATTTTTAACAGTAGTTGCCTTACCATAGACTTTGTAATCTAAGAAATTAAAAACAAGAAGAAGACAAAAATTGTGAGATAAAAGAAAGACAAAAGACGCTTTAAAACCCTGGCAAAAAAAAAGAAGATCCCTTTGTATTACAACTACTCTAAATCACAATTCAATCTGTCAGAAAAATAGATCGAGAGAGACATTTTGAAAGAGTTTGAAAGTAATTGCAAAGATTTGCACCATTTCACCGAAGTCATCTAACTGTCAAGTGTAGTAACTATTAAGAATATCACTTCATCCTTTGGGAAATAGTCAAAATAGTATTTTATTTTCATATCCAAAATAAGATAAGGAAGAGAATTATTCCTTTTTTATTAAAAAGAGACGATTGTTATTTGACAGTGATCCTCATTTAATGAACACAGTTCATCAATTTATTGGACTCTAGAACATAAAAAATGTGAAATATCATCCTGAATCTTTTCAAAGTGATAGCCACTTTGCAAATTTCTTTGACGTAATAAAAAAGAGAATTTGGAACTATCAACATACCAGTCTTATCTTAATGCCTTATAAGGCAAATAGGATCTAAAATCGGGACACATATCAGTGCACAGAGAGAGAAAATGTACAACGATTCTGTGTTATGCCCATTAACAAAAGAAAACAGCAAATGGTAATAGTTGTGATTTAAGAAGTAAGCAACGGTTCCAATAATTACCTCGATACTGGAGAGAGCCTCGGAAAGAAGTCTCTGGTTGACTCCGCACAGGTTAGGGACATTGTTCTTGCACTTGTGGTGAACATTTACATTACACACTGTACATGAGATGAGAAAATAGGATCGTTTCCAATGAATCAACCATGCTTCAGGCACTATGTTTTAAACACATACAACACATCCTTTTTATCATTATGAGGGAATGTTATGAATCTATATAAAGTCTTTCAATCTGTAAGAACATGGATTTCAAATGATTCAGCTACGTTAATTGAGATCTATTTTGTATATATATCTCTTTATCTGTTGACAATGAGAGCTATAGGAACCAGAGTTAATCTGACATATCTAAATAACTCTCATATCACAAATATATATCTACCAATTATCTAAATCTCACAAACTGTCATTGACAATGTTTTCATCTACAATAGTTTCTTGCTTTAATACTATACCACAAATTTGTCAGCTGAGACCTAGAAGGGCATTAGGTCATATAATTTTACAGAGAGTTATCGCCTTTATGGCTCTCAGCAGAAAATATATGCAATTATTGGACTTATTTACTCTAACGCAGATAATGCTCTCTACTGAACATTTCTCATATCTTATATTGTGTGGTAGATATATGCACCTTAAAATTATTCAATATTATGATCTACTTTATTATTTTATCTAACTTGCTTCCTCCCCCTTGACACGCCAACCCGTACTCCGTGTTGCCTAGCAACATGATGCGTACCTTCACACTTGACGCCTTGTCTGAACAGACCGTAGAGCATAGTACCGCAATGGTCACAGAATGTAGGACTCTTATAGTTGTTGACTTTAAATCTATGGGGCATGTTGATGTTGAACCTCTCTTTCAGTTTCTATTAAAGCAACAACATAACAAAACATGAATAAGAGCATATGTAAACAATGAATAAGAGAGTACAGTGTATACAGTTAGGGAATTGAAGATGACAGATCTTCAGGGACATTGAAGTGCTCAAATAAGGAAGTTTCAATCCTTTAAGTTTTATTATTGATACAAGTAATCATGAAAATAAGAACACCAAAGGTTTCTTAGAATTGACTACAGAAATGTGTTTAATCTTGATCAATGACTAATACAATTGGTTCCTCATATTATTTGCCAGCCATCTTTATCAACATTATTACAAAACAATTTTTATAAGACCTTATGTTTCCTTATATTGTCATGATACTTATAAATGTAATGCTGTATCATGTTATTCTTGTAATAATATCGTACACTTTAGCCTTCAGGTTGAATTGCATATTTTTGACAAAATAACCATTATGACATTACGATTAATTAAATCAAATTTCCATTCTTTTGTGCTTTTATTAAAGCAAAATTTAGCCCTAACCAAAACAAAGGAACACGTAAGATGCATGATAAAGTTTGGAAACTCCCAGACTTTTAACACACACACAAACAAGTAATGGGTATTATGCAACACTTCCTGGATGGCACTATGATAGAAAGTAAAAGCTTTGATAACAAGAAAGTTGTACCTTGGTCTCTGTTGAATTGACCCCAGTGCCGGGGCATTTCCCAAGCACTTGGTTAAAGCAGCGTTTATGAACAGACAGCTCGCATTCTACACAATAAACATACAAAAGGCATTGTATTAAATTGTGTACATGTATGTAACATGAACAATGGCTGAAGTTTCTCAGTCTGAAGTCATATCTTTTGTAAATGGTGCGTCACGAAAAGCAAAATAAAATTACAGCTGAGCATCAGGTAGACCAGCATATGGTTACTGTACCTCAGTTCACAGGTGATGACTGCCCGACTGTACTAGCCCATTGACTTCTAAATTTTCAATCATGTACCTTTCCTTTTCTCATTACTCCACTTTTTCACTAGATATATTCATCTAAATTTATCTTGATCCTAAGAAAAAGGACAAGCTATCCTTAGCCCAAATATTAGACGCAATATTAAAAATTGGACAGTTTAGACTCTCAGGAGCACTGAAAGGGTTTAATAAGACAACTTCTTTTCACCTACATATTTTCTAATACACAAACACACACACAGACACACCAAATAAAAACAAAAAGCAAAACTAATCAATATACTGACATAATGAGAAAAAAGGCATCGTACCATATTCTTCCAACCCTAATTTCCACTTTCAAAGTGAAACAAAATATCCAAGACCATTGAGTAGTGGTTTTGTCTTGACCCTTTTGGAAAGAAATCTATGTCTAACCACTTGAAAGTTGCGATACAAACAATTTGAAAATGAAACCAAATTAATTGAAACACTGTGTGATCTAAAAATAACAATGCTCAAGAAGTGTATGAAGGGTAAATAGAAATTATAATTCTCCCTTCCTCATTCTCATCCGGTAATTTCTACTAATTAGAGAGGAGCAAATTATTCCCATCTGCCGGAGAGAATTAAACACCTCGTCTTTTTCGTTTTAAATAAACCAAAGGCTTAATTTGGCTCTATATTGATAAATCTACTAACAACTGATTAATATTTGACTTCCAATCAGAAATAATAGTTGAGACGAAACAAAATGCTGTTGTCACAAGCATTGAATGAGTGTGCAATAAGTGTTCAAATGATATTGGTTTATATTAACTAGGAGATAATGAATTCAGTACATTACCCATGCATCTGTATCCTTGTGTACCAACGAGACCCCTGCAAAGCAGCAACAACAAGAGAACAAAACAATTCCTTACTATTGAAAAAACATGATGACAATTTATAACACTAAGATCATCAGCTCACTACACAATATATATTTAATATTATAAAAATCATCTTGGACCCCATGGAAGAACGGTCTTGTCTCTATGGCTTGACTGAACTGGGTGTCCTTTCTACCTCATTATTGTCTTCTTCTTTTCTTTTTTACATAGTATATTATGTTTGTTTAAATGTTTATTTATATTATGTTTTAAATGTTCTGTATACATATCGTGTTTTATTGTGAATTCAGAGAATGAATAAATCAAAGCAAATCAAAGTAGACAGAATAAGACTTGTTTGTTCAACATCGCAGAAAAATTGAAGTCTTCTACAACTCTGTTCACACTTTGAATATCTATCCTTTAATGTTATCTATTCATTAAATCATACCGAAGCACCTACATACAGTATTAATGATGATGTAGCATTTATCCTCGCACATAGTTATTCAATGAAGTATTTTACTACTTCTACCCTTCTCATATTTGTCATCCCTGTCTATCATCATGAATTTTACATTGTAAAATCATCTCACTTTCAATGTTGAAATAAATTGGCTTCTTAACAGAAACATATATCTGACAATTTGATTGAATAAATGAAACAATCATGTAGAATCTATAAACCAGATATTCCTTCGAGATTATGATAAATAACATACCAAATAAATTCATTGCAGTAGCTGCAGTAAGCTGGAGTGCGGAAGTAGTGTGGGGTGAACTTATGACCCCGATGCTCGTGAACTTTGGCCTTCCTGATGGCTACACGTCGCTTGGTCAGCAGCCCTGTTGTGTCATCTTTCTTATCCATGTCAGAATTGTGGTGTGAAACGGTGCTCCTAACGCTGTTCATAGGATCTGTTTCGACAAAATGAAAGATGAAAATGAAAAGTGTGAAACGGTGCTCCTTGCAAGTTGTTCAGGGACATGACACGGTCCCTGCACTGCCCAAGTGATCTGTTGCAACAAAATGAAAGATGTTTTTATGTTAGGTATAAGGTTATTGTTAGAGTTAGGGTTAGGGCTTGGGTTGCAGTTAGATTTTAGGTTAGGACTTAAGTTAAGGCTAGGTATAGGGTTAGAGTTCGGTTTCAGGTTAGGTTTAGATTTAGTATTGGGTCCAGAATTAACGTTAAGAATTATGTTAGTGTGGAAAATTGATGGCAGAGCAGTTGTCGTCAGAGCCTGTGTCATACTGACCGTTTACGGTGTACATTGCTGCCATCTTAACCACATACAGAGAAAGAATCACGAAGAATGGGTGTGAAACTGTATTTTCCCATGCTTTTATCATGCATACGTATATACTGTACATACAGATTGCCTATATAACAAACTCTCTCATACAAGGTTACATACACTACATGTTGCGATATCTATTGAAAATCATTCATCCATGAATTATTCTTTGTGGAATTTATCACCTCCTCACCCTGGTCCTGCATATTCTTCCCAAACAATATCAAACTCCCTGAACAATAAGAAATGACTGCTAGACAAGGGGAAACAAAGGTTTTCCTATCCTTGGCAGTGTATTGTAAAGAGTTGCGATAGATTCAAATCAATCGCAACTTTAAATTAATAATAATAATTACAGTGCTTATATAGCGCCTAACACTTACTTTGTCAGAAGTCTCTAAGCGCTCTACAATAATGCAGCATAATTACCCTGGCTTTAGCAGTGCAGCTGTTACGCGCGCTGCGTAACTGTGTACCTAAGAGACGGGAGTTGTGATCAATTACAATTTGCAAATGATTTGAATCAATAAAAATTATATATAAGGCAGAGCCCTGGTGTAGCATATTCTACAGAAGAAAAAAAAATACTGAACAATGACTACTCGAATATGTCAATCATTAAAACAGCAACATGCCTAACCTTTGTTTTCTACATTTTTTCATATCACAACTTCTCTGTAAATCACGAAAATTATTTACCAGTAATAAAAAAGAAGAAAGAAGATTTTTTTGGACAACTTACAAAAGACTATTATACTTACAACATACACATCAAAGTAGAAAATCAATTAAAAAATAAATCGTACTCACTGAATCATCAATATTAGATTAAATATATCCAAATTAGACTTGTTTATCTCACCCCCTCCTCCTCCTTCCTCTGGGAAACAACGAAGCTGGACTTGCAGACGACCGTACGGCATGAGATCCAGCTACACAATAAAGAAAATGGAGATAATATAATGTACACATACTTTATACGATAGTCATTACATATTGTTTCCTGAAAATACCTTGTAATGAAAACTAAAATGTTTAATGAAAACCCATTAAGTATGCTCTAATGTGCAATCGTGCATACATAAAGTATATTTCTAAAACTAAATGGGTTGCTATTCAGAGCAAGAGTAATTATCATTCTTTTCAGGTAGTTTCAATTCAAGTAACAGTGGCGACGGTCATTATAAAGCACCTTCCTGGTTATAATGCAATGTTCTTTCATTTGATACTCTGTAACGTGTATATTGCATTGACTACCATACACAACATAGGCTTGAATATCACAACCTGAAGTACACCGTACATTTGTGATCACTTTGGATTGCTAATACTTCAGAAGTACTCTCCAATTCTACAATATTTGAAATGGGAAAATCCTGAAGCACGGCTCTGACTTTAATTCCAAGAAAGCAATCGGTAAGCTCTATGCCTCTGGGCAGAATTCACCTCCTTGTAAAAAAATCCAGTTTCTATAATGAGGGTGAAGCCTGCAAAAATACACTTCCCGTTTAACCCTTCGTCTACTGAATTCCTGTATTCTTATACCATTAAATACAGAAAGCACCCGTTTCCTGTAGGCAATGGGAAAGATAAAAAAAATCCTGCAACAGGTCAAATTATCTTGGAAAAGCCACAGATGCTTCAAACAAAATGATGACCATCACTTTTATGAATATTACTTATCTTTCAGCGCTCATTATGCTGAGGTTATACCTCTAGATTTTCCCCTTTGTTAAACAATATTTGTATTTTTTTCTTCAAAATTCAATGACTTCAACTGATTCATAGACAAACAATTTTTGTTGTGTTTGTGGTTGACATGCCTAGCAATGGCTTAAAACTATCTAACATATCCCAAGGATAAGCCCAAATGTAGATGAGTAGGTGAGAACAAAATGCTGCTAGTGGTGATGGTGATGGATGACAAATCATCATTCAAAAAAATCCCCAGGGGTTATTGTTCTACAGTGGTTGTGATTAGTAAAACTACATGTACTTGCAAGATAATATTCCATATAAACTGTACTTCAGGCTACTGGAGGTATGATTTTTTATGTTGATTTTGTTTGTTTGTTTGTTTGCTTGCTTGTTTGTTGTTGTTGTTTTGTTTTGTTTTGTTGTTTTTTTTTGGGGGGGGGGGGGTGGGGAGGTTCCTCCCGGGACTCCTGTCAAATTTTTCCAGTGACATTTCATCCCTAAAGAGGAATTAAGGAGAGGTATTTAGTATTACCTTGTGGCAATACCATAATTAGCTGTAGTATACAAAGTATTACAAACATATTACTTCAGGAGGTCCAGATTTATAGTTTGAAGGTTTATGTTCACATGGACCCATGTTTTAATTTCAAGAGATGGGATCTGGAGTGATTATTTGTGGGCCATACGCATCAAACCCTTTTTAGTTCCGTGCTCTGCCTACATGTAAGTGCCTGGTGTATTTTATGCATTGTATGTGAAACCTGTAGGCCTTCTGTTGAGATTAACAGTACCACCATACACCAGCACATCAACCATTGCTGATAACAAAGAAGATGATAAAGTGTCTTTCTCACCCATTTTGTTTCAATCCTGCCGTCCATGCCACACATAGCAGCCAGCTCGTTGACTTTGTAGTTCGCCTCCGCCAGGTAGGACTCTGGCCTGTTATAAACAATGACCTGGATGACACGGCCATCGTAAAGATGAGAATCAAAACACTTATTCCATTCTACAAAGGCCGTCTTCCTCTTCTGCCTCAACTGTGTCTGTCCATCTAATAGATACAGAGTAAGGGAGAAGATAAATGCAAATTAAATGTGTTAAACGTAGGGAAAGGGTTCAATCCTTCACAGCATAACAATTTAATTTTTGTCTTGTACATTTTGTTGAAATTCTTTATTGATAATCTCACTTGTTGGTTTCTTTTGATAATACTTTTCATAATCACTATTTTCCAATATTTATTCATTAGAATCTAATCCATTTTTCCATAGGACTAGACGAATTTCACTGTCATTGTCTTTACATTATAAATCTTTGATTTTTCATCTTCTATCATTTCAACAACTCCATATATATCTCAATGGAGGTAAATTTGGTGATGTAGCCTGCAGTGAAAACAGAATCTGGCCTCTAGTACCATATAGACCTTACCAACAGTTCAGTAAATGGCACTTTACATGTATAACCCGTGGAAAATGCATCATAGATAGATACAGCAACAAAGTTCATTCGGAAGAATGAAGATCACATGGATCATGCAGCATAACCAATTAGGCAAGAATGCATGATAACCAATCATAATGTAGAGTATTTCAGTTTTACTTAAAAGAAAGAAAAAAAGATGGTGATAGTTGAAAGGAAAAAGAAATCCTCAAAACTCTCGATCTCATCTTGTTTCTCAAAAAAAAAATTGGTCACACAGTTGGCAATAAACAAATAAAAGCAAAAGCAAAGCTGATAAACCACAAAATCAAAGCCTTCAAGTGTAATTCTACTCATTGATCATGAAAGGAGATTAACGACATTTCACACTTCCATTGAACTCATCCACTTCAGTGTACTCCCTTAAATGTGAAAGCAATCCCAGTTGACCAAGAACGAAATACATTTTACATCTTTGTCGCTGGTTTGCTAGTAGTCCCCTGTGATCAAATGTAGCAAGCAGCGTTATGCTTGATTTATTTCAGTACATGAGGCCTGTTTTCATCAGCTCAAGTTTGCCAAACTCTCCCGATTGCAAATTAACCAATTAATTTGCGTCTTCATTAACCTGCAGTTGCAAAAAAGTGGGATATTTGGTCAAGAAAATATCCTGAAAATGTTGGTCTTGTTTCCAAAATATCCTGCTATTTGGGAAATAGCTGGCTAATTTGAGCCCGTCCAAGCTAGTTTGTGATGAGCGTATTGGTCTAGTGAGGATACAATTTCGAGCTTTGGGATAATATCCTAAGACTGAAAATAGCGGGCTATTTGGCAAACTCGAGCTAATGAGGACAGGCCTATGGACCTTAAAACCTGCTTTGCGTACATGGCCTCAAGCAGCAAATGATGGATGCTTAGATAGTGCCGACTTTGAGGTCTTTCGGCATCCATAACACATTACTTAACTTAGCGAATATATGATGAACTTATAATCTCCTATTCAACTCATCTGTCCATCGCTGCAGGGTTTTTGAGCTTATTACAATTATAAGCCTTGACAATTTGTGTTGACATTTAATACTTGTGAAAGTTCCACATTTATATATTATTTCTTCTGTTGATTATCAACCTCAAAAATGACCCAAATTCTACAATTTGAGGAAATTCTCAATGAAACAGAAGTGTATGCAACAGAAGTATAATGCATTCAAAGAAAATGCTTTTTAATTTGGATAAAAATACAATAAAATTACACAAGATATTAGGACTATCACTTAAAATTAGTAAATTATGCAGGTGCATGTAACAAATTTATTGGATCACTTCTTTATTACAAAGATACATGTACGTGTATGTATAGTCAGCAATACATTTAAGGTCCATGCAATATGATAAAAGTTAATGCATAATGGAATTTAAAGAATAATGAAATACTGGTACATGAAATTGAACAGTGTGACTAGACACAATTTAAAACCACAATACTTTTTATATTATAAACATGCTCATGAAAAAAAGGGTTTTCCCTAACTGACTGATTAAACCTACATGTACCAGTATACACCACAATACAAAAGCCATTAAAACTAATTGTTCCAATTTTCATGTCTGTAAGAAAGAACCGAAAGGCAGAATGAAGGTCGTTTCACTGTCTGTTCTTTGATGTTATAATGATGAAGGCTTCAAACCACAAAGCAATTCACGTAATGATGTGCAGTGTTTGTGAAGAATAAGTTTTTTCTTGCAAAGGGAGAGAAGAATAGGACAAGTCTATCGTAAGCCATTATGTTTACAACGAATGATATAATGCTCAATATGTTACATAACCAAATGAAAACAAAAATCTAAATGAATATTTCATTTAATTGAGGATATGAACGAATATCATAGTGGAATGTTCATAAACTCTATGAGGAACTGTACATCTTTCATGATAGAAGCTTTGTCTACATGGGCTATTGTTCTTTATTAAACGCACACAAAGCCATAGATGATGTATCCGGGGGGGGGGGGGGGGGGAGAGACAGTATACAAAAATTTCAACAACAAAAAAATCAATTTCATTTTATCACCTCCCAAATTTGGACCCTTTTTTTACAGTTTTCCGAACAGTGAAGCAAAATAATGAGCTTAAATTTTATTTTGATCAAACAAAAATTACATATATCTGAGTATCAGACAAACTGAGCATGTATAAGTCTACCTCATTTTAGCCAGTAACTGTTTGCAATGTACACTACCGGTAATTACATTTGGCTTATCATACTCCCCAAGGGCTCATCTTGAGGCAAAAATCATACAAGTACTGTATGAAATGAAATTCTCTGGTATCTTTGGCTCTACTTCCGCTATGATGAAGTGAACTTCGATCTGAATTTCCAGGTACCAAAAAGCATTGTCATTGTATTGAGATAATGCGTGACCTAACAAGCCTGACAGTCTATTCATTGACTGCTCACTTTTGTGTTTTTTTTTTACCCCTGCAGTTCATGAAAATAACACTAGCTAGCCACGTTTAATGATGCAGGGAGGGAATGAATAGATATGAATGCATGATATGAGCCTTGACCTTTTTTCATATTTTTAAGGAACTCATTACAAAAAAATACATGAACAGCAGGTGTACTAGTCGACATGTTAAGCAGCAATTAAAATTATTTTATCATGTCACACATATTTTTTTCACAGCAAGTTTTATGCCATATATTTAGGCATTTGAAATTTGAAGATGGAAAAACGGTATGATATAAATACGTAAGTCATCTAAGATAAAAGCCACAAAGTGTTAATGCCTGCAGCTTTCCACTATGCTAGAATATTGTTTAAGGTATTCAATGGTAGTTAATATTGATGGCAAAGTTACAATCAATGATTAGTTTTCATGCAACAGGGGCCCCTGGCATTCCGTATATCAATCCTTCATAAGCAAGACGTTAAAGGTATAGACCAGTTATGGAAATGCCCCCCTTTTCAAAAAATGAGATGGAAGTTTTTATTACCAATCATGTGAAAGAATATGTTTTGACTACAGCGTAATGATATACAAATTTTGCCGGGAAATCGACTACTAATTGATATATTTGGTAAATTATTATATCTCTCCAGACTGGATATATATTGCGTAGTTCCATACTGTGTACAGTGCTTGTAACTTAAGCAAGACTGGGCCAAATTTCTTATCATTTTGATGATTCCAGAACCTTGCAGTACTTACACACCAATACTTACATGCTAGATGATCAATCTTTTCTGATCGATTCCACAACGTTTCTTTCACAATGCAATCGCATGACCAGAACTGGTCTATACCTTTAATCACCAGTATATATTACTTGCATACAACACATACTAATTAAAGACAACTTACTTGCATCTTTGACCGATTCCTTGACATTGACGGCCACAAAGGGATCAAAGAGGACCGAACCTGGCAGCTCAATCTCCTTACTGTCCACCTGTAAGACCCGCACTCGTAAAAACACCATGGCAGATACCTTGCTCAGTCCCACCTACTCACAATGGTATCACTCGTCTTCAAATATCTGCAGAATACAGAGGAGAGAAAAGCAAAGGTGTTTATAAAAAGAATGTTAAAGACATTCAAGACCATTTTAAAATGTCTGCATATATTAAGAATGGATCCAAGGCCGTCATCAACCCAAATTTGTTATACTATTGTTATAGGAAAGCAATATGCTGAACTTCAGATTAATTATTTCACTCCGCTGAACCTGGGTATAATCAATTTGATGTTCATTCAAGTTATCAGATGTCATTTGGTCCATGCATTTGTTTACAAGTACATGTCCACTTCATTTTCTTATTTGCCTTTCGAATGAAATGGAGAGCCTGACAACTGACAGTAATACTTCACTGAGAGTTCAAGTAAATGATTAATGACATGTGTAGACCAGATGCTTTTGTAACATGATACTTAACTGCATGGAACCAGCAAAAAATGACTTTTACCTTTTGCATCTAAATATAACACAGAAACACGTCTTGTGCAATACTATAAATTGTTTGAACAGCGAATCAGTTTCTCTTGAATGCAGTATACATGGATCAATAGTAGTTTCATAGACTGTATTATCGTGATATGTAAGCTATGTTTTCCTGCTATTTCCTCCTCCTCAAAACCACACTATGATGTATGAGCTGTAGAGATAATATACAGTCAGGATAGGCAGAAGTGGATATATCAAAAGCAAAGTGGATATATCAAAAGCAAACATATTGTGTATACATACATTCATGTATAAACAAAGTAGCAAACAGAAGTTTGGAACTTGCCCAATTAACAATTTTCAAGTATGCACATGTTTAAGACTCAATTATTATGAAAAAGCTGACATAGCATTATGAGTAGAAAAAGAAGAAGCAGTAAAAATTAAATAAAAAAGGGGGAAAAGGAAGAAGAAAAGAAATAAATGAGGGAAAAAAATAAGGAGAAATAGAAAAATAGGAAGAAGAATATAAAGAAGTAGAAGAGGGAAAAATAGGAACAAAAAGAAGACTATTGCAATAGTACAAGAGGAAGATGATTAAGAAAAAAGGAATAGAAGGAGAAGGAGAAGGGAAAGGACAGTGGTAGCAGTGGTGGTGGTAGATGTGGTGGTGGTAGATGTGGTGGTGGTAGCAGTGGTGGTAGTGATGGTAGTGGTAATGGGGGTATTAATAATGGTGGTGGTGGTGGTTTGCAGCAGCAATATGTAGGAGGAGCTATACGTAGTAGCTGCATGTAGTAGTCATCAATGGAGTGGTGGTGGTGGTGGTGGTGGTGGTGGTGGTGGTGGTGGTGGTGGTGGTGGTGGTGGTGGTGGTGGCAGTGTTGGTGGCGGTGATAGTAGTAATAGTGGTGGTGGTGGTGATGACAGTGGTAGCAGTAGTGGTGGAAGTGGTAATGGTGGAGGTAGTGCTAGCATTTGAAAATGTGGTGGAGTAGTGTTCAGCTACAGTTTAATATTGTTTCTTGGGGGAACTAGGCGTACACGAAGGACACAAATGACATCACATAAAATAGGTACATGGAAACACATCCCTCCCCTTTTTGAAATCTTTTAAGATAATAACACAAGCTAAAGATATGTATTCATTGTACATGGAAAGAACCCAATAGGCAGAAGGCAATAAATTGCCCAGAGAAGCACAACTTTGAAAACAAACCAGGAAGTGGTACACCATACGGAAACTCAGTAGCACTGAAATATACCTTCAAGGCAATATGACACAGCACTGTTTGTGAATTCATCACTTTTGTACTTTTGTAAAGCAACAATTGATCAATCAATCACAATGGGACATACTTGTATGCAATGGAAAACAGTAGGTTACCAGGGGGTCAACATTTCTTTGATTTGTTTTGTTGAATCTTGCCAGGGCCCTGATTTACTATAATTTTTTGATGTGATGTACGGTACCTGTACACACAAATGTGTATAACATATTGATCTATGGCTTGTGATTATTTACTGTTTCATAGCATTTTTAAATAATTGCATTACCGGTAGCTTTTAAAGGTAAAGACCAGTATTGGAAACGCCCCAATTTCCAAAAATGAAATGGAGCTCTTATTACCAATCCTGTGAAAGAATATGTTTTGACTAATACACGATGATAACATTTTTGCTGGGAAACCGCCTACTAATTGATATATTTGGTAAATTAGTTTATCTATTGGTGTGTGAGAGATAAACGCACGTGTCGCGCACATGTGCGTTGTCCCATATACATCTTTCTGTGTACAGTGCTTGTAACTTTACGAAGACTGGGCCAAATTTCTTAACATTTTGATGATTCCAGAACCTTGCAGTACGCACCAATACTTATATGCTAGATAATCAACCTTTCTGATCGATTCCACAACGTTTCTTTCACAATGCAATCGCATGACCATAACTGGTCTTTATCTTTAAACTCATGGATAGTATAAACTGGATTTGAGAGAAATTGGTGAGGAGAATATCAATGTAAAGGGCTGGTAGGATAGACTAGAGGAGGAGTGTGAGTGCAGATAAAATGGGGGAAGAGATGGGCCTGGTAAAATGAGATACAATACACAAGGGTAAATGCAGCTAAGAAATTACATTTCAAAATAGATTAGACAACAAAATTATTCACTGAAGATAACTTTTTTTTAATTCATTCATGAGACTAAATACATACAAAATTTGATGTATTTTATTGTTTGTTTGATTTTTAAAACCTCTGCTTGAAACTTTCCAGATCTTCATCTCTCTACACAATAAGTCTGCCCAATTTGCCTTTCTTTCTCCCTTGATTTTCTCTGACTTTCTATCTGGCCTTCTCTCTATCCTCTCTCACTTAATCGTTCACCCCCTTTTTTTTCTCTTTCTTTAATGCTATAAACCCAATTATTTTTTTCTCCACCAATTGTAAATTGTAATTTATTTGCTTTCCTCTGCTGCTCAGGGCCATTATGAATAGATTGTGTAAGTTGCTTTGTTAGGCAAGCACACAACAAAGAATGTGCATCGAAGCGTATATCCAACTGAAAATGATTTGACCAATCTTTGTGTATAATGTGATCCATTCAAGCTTATGAAAATTGAAAAATGATTTTGGCTATTTTTCACCACTTTTCAGTTTTCACCACTTTTCACCACCTTGATTCGTTAGAAATTGTTACATGTTATTAAGTGCATCTTAAATATACTATAACAGTTTATAAAAAAACACAATTAAGGCTTCCATTAGAAACCAAGCCCAACCATGGGCACTTTAAATTATTCAAAACTTTTCAAAGTACCTTTTGGATTTCAGACTGATTTATTTCCTTTATACTCCATACGACATCATGTTTTTCACACTATCATTGGGGTTACGGTACAACCAACCTCAACGGTTACCATTGAACCTGCCGCTACAAAGTAAAGGGAAGTTATATCCAGGATATTCTCACACTGCTTTCAAAAGAAACAAAAAGATTACTTTTCTCCAGAAAGGAAATGATTGTGCTGACTAACAGTGATCAATGGTGCATTAACTCGAACAATACAATAATGTTTGCAATAACTAAGATTGATTTTTTTTTTTTTACAACCACAAAGGCTTCAAGCCAGGGACAAAAAAATATGTGTGAATATAATGACATCATGACTTGACAGTGTAGATGTAATTCAAAGGTCACATGTTTTCTATCCAGCCTTAAATCAAACTACACGTTTAAATTCTTATTAACATTAACTGTACATACCCTGTTTTATATAAGCCTAAAACCTTTTCAAGAAATCAAGATCTTAGCCTGAATTTTCTTACTGGAATTATGTTATTCGTAACAAATTGATTCTTTGCTTGCAACATGTTCATCTCCTTCGACTCGCATCATAAAAGGAATCAACTAAGTGCATGATTCAAATATTGGAGGTCTCTGTTTTAATTGGCAAGGATGTTAGGCCAAGTAAAATTGATTCCTAGTTTCTAAATCAGATTTGTTTTCAAAAAATTAGGATGAGGGGTTCTATGTTATTTTATATTTAATATCTTTTGTATATATATAAAAATATCTAATTAAAAAAAGTTGAGGTGGGCAAAAGATAGAAGGACGGGACAAGGAATTAGAAATTAATTTCATTTGGCCTTACTGAATTCCTTTGTATCATATTGTAAACAGTGACCTTGCTCCTAGTCAAAACAAGTGTCCTTTGGCAAGGCATTAATCTTCATTTGCCAGACTCGACCCAGGTGAGGTAAATGGGTGCCTGGCAGGAATTAATTCCTTGAAATGCTAGAGCACTGTAATGGCAGCTAGGCTAAAGCCGGGGTAATAATTAGTGCGCTTCGGAATAGAATTTCTAGATAGACGGCGCTATATATAAATACCCATAATAATAAATAATAATCAAGTACTTTTGTTGTCTCAATGAAATTGTTTTACATTGAGAAGGAAGAAAATTACTTTTGAATTGGTAACTCAGGCTAGGAAAGAGGAAGAGAAAGAGAGAAGGGATAGACCTGTGGCAGAAGAAATTAGTACAAAAGGAAAGGAGGTAAATTTGCAAACAAGATGATTGGATCATACTTCATAGCTAGGCACTAATGACCTCATACGCAGTAGCAACTGGTAAGGGAGGATGACCCCCCTTAAAGGTACTATGTCCCTTTTGCAGCCAACCTCAAATGCTGTAGAACTTTGCAGGAATTAAGAATATGTCATGTATGTCCTATCTGTGAAATTTAAACGTTAGCAGTGTCCACATATTCGAATCATGCACAGAAACCTGTTTACTTGCTAGACTTCACTGTCAGACACTATTGAGTGACTGACTGGCTTTTTTTCTTCTTTGGTAATAACATACATGAAAAGAGTTGTAAAGGGTACATGAGCATTTGTCTACATCAATAACCCACTTCTTGTGATGGCCAAGATTAAACTGATTGAATCTTTGCGCAGCATAAAACGTATGACCATTCGGTAGAATTGTCTGAAAATCAAGACTATTACTTTTGGGCTCTATAGCCCTAAAGTCGATTTGACAACTAATAGTCGTTATTTTCCCACTTGAAGACATTTTCAAGCCCC